TGAAGTCGAGGCAGCACCAGCTGCGATCGGCGGCCATAAAGTTTATCGCATTTGACAGCCATGGCATAATAAACGACGACAAACCCTAAGCTGCCGTCCATCGCAGGAAGCGGCGACTAAGCCTGCGAAGCCGCTCTTAGAACCGAGTCCTCTGCTCAGTGAGCTGTCGTTTAGTTTGAGCTTAAACAATATTTTTATTTTATTAAATTTCGGGAATATTGCGCTGCAGAATTAAACTACAATTCTAAAGCTGCGAACTGAAACACAAACAAATTGTGGAGACTTCCCTGAATAATGCCATTGCCATCGAACAATACTTCGTGATTTACGAAACAAAGGCTAAATGTCAATCAAGGCACTCTTAAATCTTCTAATTCTGTTTTACACGGTAGATTGGTTCCAGAAAAATTTGCATTAATTTCAAAATTTTTTATTCAATATTTATAATAAGTCCAATATTTAAAATGCGTAATGCAAGAGCTGCTAAAACACATCATGTAAAAAAAAGTAGATTTAGGAATGGGTGATAGTAGGAACACCCCTAATCACTAACAATAATTAAGCAGTGACCGAATAGTGATTGAATAGTTGAATAGTGATAAGTAATGAATAATCGATAGTAACCGATAGCAGGGAAGTAAGAGGTCAACTGATATTGACCAGTCAAAGAAGGAGGACGCTTAGTGAAATTTGAATTAAACGGATATTTGTGAAACGTTGTTAATTGTTATAAGCCAAAGTAACCGAAGAAATTTTAATAAACCTAATTTATCCAACAAACTAAATATGTAGACGCACATGTTAATTACCGTTAGTTTTAACAATGCACGCATTGCATAAATTCGTTATTAAATAAATTCCCAATTCACATTTTTTATTGACTTTTAATCTTTATTTAAGATCTGTCTTAGGTTGGACAGTTATTAAATTTTACAATAACTTTGAAATTTCAATCAGTCTTCAGCCTTGACGGTTGCGGCGTGATTCGAACCAAAACCCTACTCAGGAAAAAGCATTGTGGAATTCCTGCTAGCTCGTTAAGCATATGCTTGGCCCCGAGTTTACGATTGACCTGGGAAAAATAGCTTGCTTTGGCATGTTTTCTTATCATTTCTAAAGCGCTTTTTTGATACATATCACAGCTTTATTACTTTTGTGTATTTGCCGGGATTTGCCTGCTTAGAAATGTCCGTAACATCGATATTTTTATAAAAATCGATCGAAACATCGAAAACAATCCATTACGTAAAAATCGATACATCAATGTATCGATGCATATTTACATCACTACGTAGAAGACTAAGACGGAGCTTAACAAACAATCTTAAATATATACTGACAAACCAGTCCTTTCAATTCCATCTTTGATTTAAATAAATTAGTTATCAGGTATTTAGAGTCTTCTTGTTTGCACAAGATTTTAAGCCTATTCCATCAATATAAACAAAATAAAGTTGGAAATTAATTTACAAGCAGAAATCAGCTTGATTGATTCTTCGAGACAAAAAAATATACTTAGTTATATTCTTAGTTATGTTCGCAATTAATTAGCTGATTTCTAAGCTTTGCAGCGTTATTTCTTAGGACACTAATTACTTTAATAGCTTCTGACAGACCTTTCATTAAAAGCAAAGGACTTATTTCTTTTCTGACCTCCTCATTCCTATTTCTCTTCCCATCTCTGTTTCATAAACCTTGGCTGAACAAATAAAAATATGTAGAAGTTGTTGCTGAACGACTTACTTGTAAGTGGGGTTAGCATTAGAGCGTTATGTTTTTGGTGTCTGTATCGCCAAAATGTAACACCCCGTTAACCCATCCACTTAAAAACCACTAACGTACATATTCCAGATTTATTTTTGTGCGCAGACAATGCGCAGATTTGTGTTTGTTTGCCAAAGATGTGCTTTACATTTGTTTTCAGATTTCTTTATTCATTGCCAGGCCAAATAAAAAACCAAGAGCGCTGCAATATATTCCAAAGCGCATTTAGATAAAGTCCCTTAGATGTGTCCGTCCATGCGGATGTGTGTGTGTGTATCTTTGTTTGTATGTGTCTTAAGTATTTGTTCTTTGTTTTTCGCTCGCAAACTTTCTTGCAAGTTTGCGCCTAAATGCAAGCTATTAATTTTATAGCAAGCTAAAGAAATGCAAAAGTTCGCCCTACACAACACGCGCACACACACACATACATATATGTATATATATATATATATAGATAGTAGTGGAGGTTTGTAGATAAAAACATAGAAAAAATTTGCTCTTTGTTTCCATCGTAGAAAAGAAAGGCTTAGAGGCGCCAGCGTTCATTTGTATGCGCACTCAAATTTTATGAATCAAGTTAACGTTCTGATTTTTTTTTTGTCTGCTTTAGCAGCTGCATGACATTTGAGAAACGTTGCATAGTTTTGGGCGCTAGCACTAGACAGCTGGTGTCAGCAGCTCTGACTTGTTTACAGCTTTCGGCAGTTTTCTGTCCCCACAAAAGCAGAAGCTGACGCAGGAGCGACCTACATGCGTTTTATGCGCACTTTACTGCCCCATAAAACCCAATGTCTGTCTACCCGCATTTGCATGATACCCGTACTATTGTGTTTGTACCATTCGTAGTACGAGTATGTGCCTGAGGAGTCGTGACATGCCATAAACTCTGGCCTTTCTCCAGTTATTTTTGGCGGTTTGTTTATTTTAAGCATATGCAGAGGCATGCGCGCTCGTTCGTGACAAAAGGCTAGCTGAGCTTTAAACGCCCACCTGCCATGTCTGTCCATTTGTCCTCTTCGATCCAAACAAAGTCATCAGACGTAACAATTTGAATATGAGCAGTATTCCATATAACCTCCATCAGAATTTAAGTGCGCAAGTGAAACGTTAAAGGCGTACGAGACTGACTCTTCTCTAACGAATACACCAGTTCTTTAACTAACATGAATTATAAGGCTATATATATGGGTTAAAATAAACAGTCTACATACCAAGTTTGGTGGCCCTAGCTGTTATGGTTCTAAGGCTCTTGCTGTTCATACAGACGGACAAACGGAATTGTCTATATAGATACAATTTTATATACATTAGGATTCTTTACAGCATTCGAATACAGGGTGCAAATAAAGAGCTCCTCCAAATTTCACTTTTCTTTCAGTAACCAAATATAATTAGTCTTGGCGCGCAGATATAGTCGCCATCGTATAAAAATATCGATTTTAGGGTTGCGTCTCTAGCAGAATCAAACTATATTATTGGTCTATTTTATAGTGTTTTGTTTCCATCGTATTGGGCTTTATTTTACTATCAAAATAGAATTAATCGTGCCTCGCAGATGTAAATTACTTTTATCAATACTAGTACATATATTATATTTATACTTTGCACCCAAAGGGTAAAAGGGTATACTAGTTTATTTAGGTTTAAAAAAGGCCTATCGATCCATTATTGCTACTATTTTACATTCTTCGGAGCTTATGAACTTTACTTGGAGATTGTTGGATTATTTTGCTAACAATCAGTCTACAATATAAATATCTGTTTACCAATAAGCGACACATTCTTGATATAATTTGACAGATTTTCTAGAGAGCAAAAAGTTGTTGTGCTTCCGAAGAAAGAATTAAAAAAGTGAAGATGGGAAGCAGATTGCATATTATTTCTTTCATCTCTTTAAGCCTTTAAAGTCAGCTTAGAGGCGAGGTCAAGTCGTATGTATCCCAATGGCATACAAGTCCTGATTCCCTGAATCCTGAATTGTGTTGTTGGCCATTTCTTTCAGTGTCACATTTTTATTTCATACGTGTATGTAGTGTAGTTCCCATTGAAAGGTTACTATCGTGTACGGCACACATTGAACGCTTTTGAATTGAATACTGTATCCAAACTTCCGGTTGGGACTCGAACTGACAATTGTGTGACACATTGGCTTAGTTGTGGCTCTGCCACTGGGGCTGCCATCGCCATCAATCAGCCGCTTCGGTCGCTTCAGTTGCTTCACTCGCATGCAATCTACATCGCTGTCTAAGCAATTGACCCATTTCGAAGGGCCAATGGCACCTAATAATGCAATAGGCACTGGGCCCCAAAGACGTGGCACATTTTGCACTCTACACCTCATTTTGTGGAGGAGGGAGGGAGGGATGGCGTATGTACGTGCAAGTGCCTTCCGGGTCTCAGTCTTAGTTGTCAGTTTGGTTTCCTGGTTTCCTGTTGCGGCAACTTGGCGTGCCAAATGAAGTTATTGCCACGATTGCTCCATTGTCCTTTGTCGTGTACTTTTTTCTGCCTGCCTCTGCCTCTGCCCTTTTATCTATTGCACTTTTCTTTCTATTCTCCTATACCTATATGTACATACATATATACATATTTCAGATATGTTTATAGATATTCCCTTTCCATTTTAGTTGCAGTCTGCGGTGGTTCTCGCATTACTTGCAAATTGTTGTGTGGCAATAAAAATGGTCTGCAGCATGCAGTGCTTCGAGCATTTCGTGCATGTCAGAGGGTTATTTCATTCCGCAAACCTTTCTGCCATCTGCCAACTGACGCAAATAACTGCTTTTAATTATACGAGTAAGTTCTTTGCGCCATGGCGCTTAATATTTCAGCACCTGAGCTCTCTAATTGCGTGTGTTTTGTCTGCCTTGGAAGTGGAGCCTTTGCGGCCCACCTTGGGTTGCTTGGCAGCCACTAATCCAATGCGTGCAATACGATTTACAGTCGCTCAAATCCGAGAGCTGCCAACTTAACTTAATTAAAAGCAATGCGTGCCTTGGCAGGCTTAATGGCGCCCAAGCGAGGGCCCATATGTAATCATTAAAAACTAAGAGCGTGTCGTTTTACCAGAAGCATCGTGGCTTGATGGCTGCAAGTTTCATTTAATTTGGGAAGTTTTAGCCCCAACCAATATAGCTTAAAGTTTGCAAGCTGTGCGCCTGGTTCGGTTAATTTGCGCAGTGGGAAAATATCAGTGATTCTAATAAATATCTTCTTGTTTTCTGTCTCATCTACAGGTGCGTGCCATGGAGCAGCGGCTGAGTGAATGGCCAAAGCCCATACAACAGCCACAACATTCGCATTCGCAGCAGGGAACCGCTACAAGCTCGCCCATACATCAGCATCAGCATCCTCATCAGCACCAGCTTCAAAGTCAACAGCAAGCAGCTGCGCTAGCAGCCGCCGCCGCCGCCTGTCTTCCCAACAACGAGGCCGAGAAGACAATCAACTCGCTTGAGATTCAAGTTGAGGAGCAACGACAACTACGTCTTCACGACGCCCGTCAAATCGAGGCCAAAGCAGCCAAGATCAAGGAGTGGGTGAACAACAAGTTGCGCGACCTAGAGGAGCAGAACCAGCTGCTGCGCGAGCAAAACATCAAGTGCAATCAGCAGCTAGAGTTGTTAAAGAACCACATTGCCAACCAGTCGAACCGACACAGTATTGTGGGTCCTGTGCGCAACAGCCTGAGCTTAGATGTCCAGGACTTTGCCAGCACATCGGAGACGCGCAGACGCAGCGAGAGCCTCGATCCCCAGGAAATCATAAGCCGACCACTAACCACCTCGTATCCACATCATCAGCATCGACGCAACCTCTCGATGGAGCCCCAGGAGCTTGAGCGCAATCTAGTGGCGGCCGTCGATGGCCTAACACTAGCACCGTTGTCGAGCATCAGCAGCAAAGCACCGGCGCAGATGTCTAACGCAGCATCAGCAACAGCCTTGGCCGCAACACGCCCCGATAGCTCCGACACAGACACTGCTCACGACTATGCCGAAATCTACACTCCGTCGTGCGAGAAGCTGCCCGCCTGGATGAAGAACAATCCGGCACTAATGGCCAGCGGTGGTAACTCAAGCACCACCACGACCACTAGCGATCTAGGCGTTCCGCGCCCTCCTACACCACCACTGCATCGATTTCCCAGTTGGGAGGCCAAGATCTATCAGGTGGCCAATGATGGGTTGGCCGGTACTGGAACTGGAACCGGCACCAGCACCGCCGAAAGCACGGCCAGCAATGAGCCAGCCACTGATTTACACGATGGCAGCGGTGGTGGTGGCGGTGGTTCTGCAGCCAACACTCTAGCCAATGGCAGAGCGACTGGGACGCGTCATGCGCACGATGCGAATGGAACGCTGGGCAGCGGCACACCGGGCACACCCCAGCCACCAACGCGGCAACAACAAACCGCTAGCGGCGGCTTCTGTGATATATCCGTGCCCGTCTACGCCACGGTTAAGGGACGTGCTTCCCAAATACGTTCCATGCCCTTTACGGGCGACTCAAGCGACGACTCCAGCGATGGGGAAGATCATGCCGTTATGCTCACCCACAACTCGCACAACTCATCCAGCACCGACAACACGGAGACCTCGACGTCAGGTAGCGCCTCGAGTCCCTCGAAGAGTCTAAAGACTTCATCGAGCCTGAGCCCAGCGAAGCGTAGTGGCTCGGAGAGTCCCAAGAATGCCAAAGCGCGTGGTATGTAACACAATTGCAATTAGAGAACCCGCCCCGTACCCCTGTAAAGCGTAGCGCTCGTGTAAGCAACCACCAGCCAGCACCACTAACCACTAATTACTAACCACCAAGCATCGCCACTTTCACAGCCACCACTAACATGAGACTTGAAACAATAGCGCCTTAAAGACATTGCCGTAAATCCAATAAAATTCCTCATTATTTTCCTCTTTTAATGTACTCTATGCCTAGTTTTGAATATTCGGGGCTTATGGATGTTGATGTTGTATATATATATCAGGAAATAGATATTCGATATTCCATCAAAAATGAAGAAATTAAGTCCACCTTTGATTCAATCCAACAGCGACCAATTTAAATGCTGTATAGATAATAGATCTATGTATTACCGGAAAAATTCTTTGCAGTAATTTCTCTAAGATATCCACTTATATATACTTGTATAAATACTTATGGATTTTAAATTCGTAAAATTTAACGAAAGCTGCCATCCCATTGGATTTATCAGTAAGCTCTTGTATGCTCAAAAATATTGCTTATTATCTAACTCTTTGGGTAATATTGCAGTCAAACAACTGCAAAAACCATCTTAAATCGTTTCGAAATTTAGACTAACATAGTGGTATCATCCGTCATTTACAATGCCGTGATTTGTTCCAAAAGAAATAAAGCAATATTTTAGATAATCAACATCCCTAGCTGAGATCTATTTTGATGTTGAGTAGCTCTATGGCTCATGTTTTATTTTAAGCTTTATTTACTGTACTCCCCTGTACTCCTTTCTCCATCTAGCTTGCAATTCCGCACGCCTAAAAGTATCCTTAAAGTATGTCCAGTATATTCCACCTACCCTCTAATTTGTTCTATGCTGTACTATTAAGCAACTAATTTACAATGCCATTTCTAACAACATGTTCAAAAACAAATTCCCCGCCGCCATTGCGCTTTTCATTTGAAACCCATCAATACACACACACACACACACACACACGCGCGCGCACACTACAGTCACACCCACACAACACCACACACTCCCGCACACACAGACACAGTTACAGTCACAGTTACAGTCACAGTTACAGTCACAGTCACTAGCACAAGCACAGACACTGGCCCGGACAGAGACGGGGGCGCCAAAGCTGGCTCAGCCCCAGACACAGACAACGCTGCCACGCCTACACACGCCCATCGCCCACGCGCAGCTCACGCATCTACGCATACCCTCCCACGTGCGTGGCACAGTAATTTCAGATCTTTCCTTTGAATCAGGCCTTTCCGATGACTATGCATTGCCGCCCGACGCTGTCTCTGAATCGACCTGCATGGACGCCTCGATGCCGTCGCTCCTCATGCGTCAGTCCTATGTGGATTCGCCCAGCAAGAAGATTGAGTCTCTGGAGAAGGTGAGTGCAAACGATTTCTTTTGTTGGGCGCCTACTCTAACACATTGTCTGCCTTCGCCCCCAACCCCTCTCCCTCCAGATGGGTCACCTGGCCAAGCTGGGTGGCAAGCTGAAGACCTGGCGCAAACGCTGGTTTGTGCTCAAAAATGGAACCCTCAACTATTGGAAGAGCCAGCACGATGTGCAGCGCAAGCCGCAAGGTCAAATTTTATTGGACGAGGCCTGTCGCATAAACCGCGCCGAGGGCGCCTCCACCTTCGAGATCGATACGGGCAAGAAGGTCTACTATCTGACGGCTGACTCGCATGCCACCATGGATGACTGGATTCGTGTGCTCCAAAATGTGCAGCGGCGCAATGCGACGAAATTGCTGCTCAGTCGCGACGACCAGAAGCCGACCGTCCAGGGTTGGGTAACCAAAGTGAAGAACGGCCATGCCAAGAAGTGCTGGTGCGTGCTCCTGGGCAAGATGTTTCTCTACTTCAAAGCTCCCGCCGAGACGGTAAGCGTGATCATCGTTAGATAAAATTGAACTGGTCTGGTTATAGCTTCAGCTTGAATCCACAGAATCCACTGGGCCAGATCAACATGCGCGATGCGCGGGTCGAGGAGGTGGAGCATGTGTCCGACTCGGACTCGGAGGAACGCGAAGATGCGGCACAAGATCAGGCCCGTCTGACAGTGGCCATTTATCCAGCGCATCAGGGACCCACGTATCTGATACTTTCGGGTAAACAGGAGCGCGATAACTGGCTCTATCATCTCACAGTTGTGTCGGGAGGCGGTCCCAGTGCGGGCACCCAATACGAGCAGCTGGTGCAGAAGCTTATGGAAACGGATGGCGACCAAAGTGAGTGCCAAAATACTCCGATTCCCAAATTACATTATAACGCTTGGTTTCCCCAATCTTGTAGATTGTGTGCTTTGGCGTCATCCCATACTGTTACACACCAAAGACACCATTGCGGCACCTCTATCCTCAATGCATACGGAGACCATGCAGCCGGAGGCGATCAAACTCTTCAAGGTAATTTCCAGCAGAGATATACATACAAGTATCATCATATGATCTAACGTTTTCTATCTGCACCCTCCAGAGCATTCAACTGTTTATGTCCGTGGCTGTCAACCAGCCGGGCATCGATTATCATGTGGTGCTTGCACAGAACGCTTTGCAACACTGCCTGGACATGCCCGAGCTGCAAACGGAAATGATCTGCATACTGATCAAGCAGACCTCCCGACATATGGGCCAGAAACTAAGTGTCGGCGTCCAGGTAAACAAGAAGCTGGGCAAGCAAACGCGCGTAAGTTTTTTAAGTTGCAAAGCTTCTTAATTATTATTAAATGTGTTTTAGTTCTTTGGACTTTGTGTTGGTTTCAAATTTTGTGTAGTTTTTTGTTTTTGTGTTTTCTTGGTTTTCATTTCAAAAACTAATCTACCTACTAACAACTAACCTGTCTAGCCAATGGTTCCAATAGTTTAGCTGCACTGGCCCAGAGCTCATCAATATGCATACATAGTACCTACTTGCATTCCAGCAAAGATTTAGAACTACACGTACAATCGATAGATTGTGCTTTATCTAAATATTTCACAACACTGGGTCTGTAGCTCATCTCCCTCAAACGATGATTGCACTCAAAATTGTTATAGCTTTCTAGATCTAAAAGAACTTGCTGTAGAGCTTAGATAAGATCTGTTTTGGATCTATCAGATACCACTGGCCTTATCATAAATAAATATACCTATTTGTTTCTACTACATTCCGGCATATGGGTTGTTTTGGATCTTATGTACACAACTTATCTGATTAATTTGCTTCTTCAATTTTAAAAACGATCGGGCAACCTTTGCAAATAAATTATTAGCTTTGCTTATGGAAAAAAGCTTACGAACGCCTAATATTAACTCCAATAATGATAATCAACTAAACATCTAACAACATACTTATTCACATATTTATTCAGATAATCACACCTACGATATAACATCATTTTATTTCGCATGCACTACGTTCATGTCTATTCCGTAACTTATCTACTTAGACAAATTTTGATCAGCTTTGTTTAAATTGTTCTCTTTTTTTGTAGCAAACAGACAATAAATTTCCCCCATAACTGTTATACATATACTCTTATGATCTGTACGTGTACATCATATAGCTTTTATACACAACAACATCAAAACGAGATACAATATGTGTATATCTACAATACTATATATCTCTATATATGTACTTATAGTTGTCAGTTCATTTTAAGTTCTATCTCTTACTTTCAATTATTGTACAAAGTACTTGCTGTAAATTTCACATACAAACAAACAAACATACATAAATACATACATACATCCATCAAGAACACCTAACTAGCTAGACACGTTAGTTCTAGGCATACATATAGTATGTGCATAATGTAGCAAAAGATCGTACATAAATACATAAGTATACATATGTGTATATACATACATGCATATGTGGCTTTTCTTCGCGCTTAGGCAACACTGAACACACGGACACCACAAGCCAACCACTCCACCAGCCCACTCATTCATCACACTAGCATAGAACTGGAACTGGATTCGGATTCGGATTCGATTCTACTTTCAAAGATCGGTTCGATCGATCAACAGAAACATCGACTGGATCGATTATGCGAGTACACCTATGTATTACTATTTTGGCATTTTGCAAAGTAGATAAAAAATTGAACAGGCCTTGAATATTTCAACATTTAGGATCGATTAGTTGTTAGGCAATCATCCGTGTTAATGAATAGTTCTGATTAACTGATCGGTTTGTTGTACTTCAATTCCTGATTTAAAAGTACAGTCGACTCGAATCCCTTCCAGCTCTACAGTAGGAGTAACAGCTTGACTACGACATTGCAATATTAGATCCCAATATCAAACTGTACCGTGAAACGATGATCGGCAAAATAAATAAACGTAAGCAAGGCTTCCCAACCAGGGCCTCTACTTTAGGCAAGCTCCTCCAGTATTTCCAAAATATCTTTTGGATAGATAACTGCTGTCTGCTGCCGCTAAACTTGTGCTACGAAGGTGCTTGTAAATTTGTGATTTGTCCTACAACGTTGATCACAAATGTTGTCGTATGGCAACACTGGTAAAAGAAAAATGTTAAAACGAGGTGTATAATTATCATAAGGTGTGTAACAATGACTTGCAATATGCATTTTGAATATCAACCCATCACCCCAACGAACGGACTGTTACTTTTGTTGTCCAAGCTGTTACTCTTGACAAAGTCACAGTCGCATTGATCGAACGAAATGAAACCACTAGTGTCCACACTCACAAACTCTCTGTTTAGGCGTCTCTCTTACACACACTCGACACTCTTGCTCCAAAATGTTTCTATCATCCTGTTTATGGTTTGCTCATTTATGTTTCGTTTCGCCGCTGCTTTGTTCAATTACTCGTTTACCGTTACTTTTTTAAATGGCTTTTGAATGTTTCGCATTGTTCATAAATAATATCGATATTTTTTGCGTGTCGCTTTTTAAAAGAAAAAACAAACAGAAACAAAAGGAAAGAAATTAATTTTGAATAGCGTGTGCCACATGTATGTACAGTATGTAAGACACACTGTTAAAAAAAACCCCACCAACTTCAAGATGATTGACCAGCAAAACGTTTTCTCGGCTTTTCTTCTTCTATTCTTTTTTTCGTTTTCGTTTCGTTTCGTGAATGCAAAACCAAACAAAAAAATCAAATCAAATCCAATACCGTTTTCCAACACTGCCAAACAACCGTACGTACCGTACCGTTAACGACGACGACAACAACAACAACAACGAAATTTACAGCAACTACTGTTGTGCGCCACACAGAGCCTGTTCACCTGTGATACCCAACAGGCGGGCAACGCCCAAGCCAACGGCAGTTCGCCGACATCGATTCAGGTATGAGGGGAATTATTGTCATTGCCATAGTGTTGTGTACAGTTGCGTTCAGTTATCGTAGTGTTTGGCTAACCGAATCGATCGGCCCACAGATCCTCTCCAACCTCTAACTTTCTTTGCTTTATTCTTGGGGTTATTGACAGGCGCCGGTGGCTACTCCGATTATCGATTGCAAGTCCAATCCGCCCGCCTACAGCTTCGTCCAAGGCTGGCAGTTGCTCGCCCTCGCCGTCTCTCTCTTTGTGCCAAAGAGCAGTCGTCTGCTGTGGTACCTCAAGCTGCATCTCTCCCGGAATGCGGACACCAAGACGGAGACGGGCAAGTATGCTGCCTACTGTGAACGAGCGCTGGAGCGCACCCTGAAGAATGGGGGGCGCGAAACGAAGCCCTCACGGATGGAGGTGCTCTCTATATTGCTGAAGAATCCATATCATCACTCCCTGCCGCATGCCATACCCGTGCACATGATGAACACAACCTATCAGGTGAGGACTGTGGCCTCTAGACGGGGGCTACTCAGGCATCCTTATTGATTTATTTTTCTCCCCCATAGGTTGTCTCTTTTGATGGCTCGACGACCATTGAGGAGTTCCAGACAACACTGGCCCAGGAGCTGGGCACCCGCGATGCGACCAACGGCTTCTGTCTCTTCAGCGATGATCCCATTGAAAAGGACTTGGAACACTACCTAGAGCCGCTGGCCAAGCTTTGCGATGTCATTAGCAAGTGGGAGACGGCACTGCGCGAGAAGGGGTCCGGGAAGTTCGAGAATTCGCGCGTAATTCAGCTTAGCTACAAGAATCGTCTCTATTGGAAGCACACGATCAAGTGTGAGACAGACAAGGAGCGTCTGTTGCTCTGCTACCAGACTAATGCGCAGATCGTCCAGGGCCGCTTTCCACTGTCCCGCGAACTGGCCTTGGAACTGGCCTCACTGATGTCCCAGATCGATATGGGCGACTACACGCACGAGAAGTCGCGAGATGTGGGCCTCAAGGCCCTCGACAAGTTCTATCCATATCGCTATAGGGATGCGCTGAGCGCAGAGCAGCTGAAGGATGTGCAGGAGTTGCTCATCTCCAAGTGGATGCTGCTGAAGGGTCGCTCCACACTCGACTGTGTCCGCATCTACTTAACCTGCTGTCGCAAGTGGCCCTTCTTTGGAGCGTGCCTCTTTCAGGCGAAGCCACGCCAATGCGAGCCGCATGCCAGCGCCAGTTCGCCTGTCGCCTGGCTGGCCGTCGCCGAGGATGCGCTCAATGTCCTCGAGCTGTCCACCATGGCGCCAGTGGCCCGTTATCCCTACAGCACCGTGATGACCTTTGGCGGCTGTCAGGACGACTTCATGCTCGTCGTCTCGCACGAGGATGGCATGCTGGCCGGTGGCTGTGAGCAGAAGCTGCTCTTCGCCATGAGCAAGCCCAAGATCCTGGAGATAACGCTCCTCATAGCAGACTACATGAATGCGTTGGGCCACACCGTGCCGGGCACCCCACAGATGAACTCACTGACCCGCAATGGCTCGCACCGTTCGCTGCGCTCCTCACAGCGGCCGGTGGGTGGTGGTGGTGGTGGTGCGGCTGGTGGTCCCAGCAGCGGTACCGGCTTCTCCACAAACGCCACCACCACTGCCCACAACACCCTCAACTCCCATGCCACACACACTCTCAACTCGACCCACTCGCACACGCTCAGCTCGTCCCATCATGCTGGTGGTGCTAGTGTTGGTGGTGGCGTGGGCAGCGGAGCTGGTGGTGTTGGCGGTGGTTGCAGCCAGCAGGGAACACTCAACTCGCTGCAGTACCAACACATGAGCCATCACCATCACGCACACCAGCCGCATCCCCATCAGCCGGACATACTGAAGAGCACGCCCGACCACCAGCGGATGAAGTGAGCGGCGGCGTCCAAGGATCGCCCGAAATGTAAATAGGGTACGGGCGCAGAGGCGGGAACGACACATACATATAGACCCATACATATACACCCACTAACTATATATACATACATACATATACAAACATACATACATATATACGTACGTATATCCCATGCTTAGTCTAAGCGCAGGCGTACAGTTCACGCACTAGGATTTTTACTTTGCGCGCCACCAAATACTAAAATATACACATATAGTATATATATACCCATATTTTTTTTCTAATATATAATGCACACACACAGAAGGTATATACATTTACATATACAGACAAGTATATATACATAATTTTTTGTTATTTTTTTTTTGTGTACTTCTAAGGCATGCCCTGCATATAGTAAGGTACATGCATACATACTATATATGGTTCTTTTGTACAAATTATTGTGGACCTGACCCCCGTTGTTGGTCCGGAACGTAAATATTCCTCTCTCACTGATTTGTAGTTTCGCGCTTTGTGCTTCGCGTAATGAATCTCAATCTCAATTTGTCCCTCCATGCGAAAACTGCCTTTGAATGTAATAGAGAGAAAGAAAAGAAAACGCATAGCAAAGAAGAAGTAGAAGTAGAAGAAGAAGCCAAACAAATACTTATAACAAACATTAGAGTTGCTCGACGTCAGCAGCAAAAAAAGGGAAAAAACTAAAATACAAGTACATAATAATATTTTGTAAAGCAGATTTTTCATGCAAACCAAACAACAACAACAACAAGCAACTACACTAATTACAGATACTTATGTACATTTACTGCAACATAAAAAGTAAAAACAAACTGTTTTTGGTTTCAAGCATTGTTTAGAGATACTCTAATTCAACATTTTGTTACGCACCCACACTGTCAAAACGTAACGTCGATGTTAGCAATACAGTATGTACTATTTTTATTCATATTCGTATGTATTTTTAATAAAAGCAAATCAATTCATTCGCTTTAGCAATTTTAATCAATTTTGTAGATTTGGAATTCATTTCTGCGTCACTTAATCAACTTCAAGCAATATTAACAAATAGCCAACCCAGACACAGCCAGAGCTTCTAGTGAAAAGGAAAAACAAAAACAGAACAAATCTAAGCAAGAAACAGTTATACACACGCAAAGAATTATAGCAGCAACTGTACGAATCTATATATACATATATATAGTATATATACATTTTTGTAACTTATACAAGGGTAGAGTTTTGAAGAGAGCAACACATTGAAATTTATATAGACAACAAATTTTAGTACGTTATACATTCGCAAACAAATTCATAGGGTATATATACATACATACTCTATGTATGTAATCTTGGTTATAGTCAACAAATTGTGGAATAACAACCATAGAAACAAGAGAAAAACAAAACAAATTTCGTAGGACCATTACAAATAGCTTTCAATATTTTCCAGCTACCAGCTCACCAAAATCTATCTGTCGATTTGTCGATGGGTTGTTTCAACATACTACTGATATTCTTTGTTCAAACACTATTTACCTGCTCGCTTCCAGTAACTTCTGTAAACGTTTTCAAAACTCCACTGAATATCTGTTTAACGAACCCCTTAAGCGCGCGTATAACTCGTGCGCACATATACTCACACATATAAGTACATACATATACATGCATACCTATATGAAGAGAAAGCAAATTATACAAATTATATAACATGTACATTGTAAGAGCGCAATTTTTTCCTAATTGTAAAAATTTGATATTAAAAATTTATATACGCGCACATGGGCGCCAACTCAACTCATTTGCAAGAACACGAAACTATGTACGAGTATGTGCTGGCAAATAGTCGGCAACCAATAGGCAAATATCACTGAATAAATAAAACAAACAAAATGAAACGAAACGAAATATATAAAGGAAATTTTATTGATCAACTGTCAACTGTGTTTTTTTTCCCACTGGTACTATTGATTTCAGATGAAAAGCGTACATCAAACCCAGAGACTGGAGAAATCGGAGCATACTCTCAGGGGCAGACAGGAAATTTTTTGATTGGCTTTATTTGTACATATATCTATTAATATTTATGTTCGCCTGCTAACTATGTCAGATATGAATACACTCGTTTAGTTGTTTTTACATATATAAGTATTTATTTATTATTCAATATGTGAGTTAAAACCAGAACAAAATATGCTAAAAGGTAAAATGGGAATGCTTCTTCGTGGTTTCCTAACTGTGGGGACAGAATGTTTAATAGTTTAATTAGCGTACATTTGCAACCGAGAACAATCTAGTTTAAATTAAAAAAAAAAAATGTGTATACAATTCATCGCATGTAAATATTTGTGTATATGCATAAATATATATGAGTTAGATGCTTCGCTGCTGAGCAATCAGCTTGGAGCATGCATAAAGCTGACAACAATTTCTGTTGTGAGTATAAAGTGTTTTCACAATAATTCTGAACACTTAGCTACACGTACGCGTATTCGTTGTTTTGTAATTCTTAGTATAGGCTTTATCAAAATATATTTATATTTATCTTAACATGTATATACCTTTATATATATTTATGTATATATATTCGAACAATGTTTATGGACTGCATAGTTGAGAAAGAAGCTCAGTGATGGCCTTTATTGACAAGAACTGTGCTCGTCAAGCGCGTCCTAGGAGTCGAGCGGAAAAATTAATACAATTCATAAGGAATTTCGCAACGATTAGCAATTAATGTCCGATCAGTCCAGAGTTATATAAGCAGTGGTAAGATATTAAATACTTTGTTATAAATACACGTTCAATGGCTGACATTTAACAGTGAATTGAGTTTTTGTTCATTAGTCATTCGCTTCAGTTTCATAGTTGAATTGTCAATTGTTTCTTTGCTTCGATTCGAGAAAAAGGCACATTGCAATCTTAAGGTTCTCAAATTAAACAATAATTAAGTACTTTGCATGACTCACGACTGCATTAGTTCTTGGTTTTGTTTTACAACACACACACACACACACACACATAGGCATACTCGTATGCGCTAAGTGTTCTTCATTCCGTTCCATGCAACAATTTTCATTTTCTTTTTAAAATTACGAACTATTTGACAAATTTTAGTACATGAGCAAATCTGTAACAGGCTTTCTCGAAAGATACATACATAAATGCTTGTGTTGATCTGTCCCTCTGTCCATCCGTCCGTCTGTCCGTTTGTATTGCCTATGTTATGGATATGACTTTTCGAGATATGTCGGTGTTATGTTAATTAGATTAGCTCTAAGTTTAAGTAGCAGCTGCCGTACTGTAGATTAATTATATAAATACCACATAATGGATAAGTGGAAAATACGTTTGTAGTTAATGCAACGTTCAGCCGAAGCTTCAAGATCGTCATTCATAAAACCATTATCAAGCAGTCCCTCATCACATTTGGAACAAAAATAAAAGGTGACTGTCGCTTATATACATTTCTTGTTTTGTTTTAGGAATAGTTGCTATTAATCTGGAGCTTTTGCTTGAACGTCCTATTGTATCTTTTTGATGATGTTTGCAACGCAAACTCACATAATGTCGCGCTATGGCAGTTCTGGCAGGCATCGACATTAACGACATAACGAAACAACAAAAAGTTACAATACCCCAACTCTCTGGGTAGGTTAAAACAAGGGACAAATAACACACATTGAGACAGAAGACTGTATAACAAACTAAAGATTAAAAAAAATTAAATAAAAATACTAATAATACATTAAGAGAAGATCGCCGACATTGTCTATGAATGGTGTCGTGAATTTCGCATCAGCGGCACCAGCAATGAGGGCGGCCCTGCCTGCCGCAGGAAGGGATGAGCCAACAGTTCTGCGGCCGTCGCTCTCTGTGCCGGATCTCGCACCAGCATGCGGTCCAAGAACGACTGCAGACGCGGCGAGACCTTGTGGGCGTTCTTTAAATTCGGTGGCTGCATGTCCCGTATGCGGCGCATCGCCTGCAACGGTGGCTCATTGAAGAACGGTGGCTCTCCATCGACCATTTCGATGACCATAATGCCCAGCGACCAGATATCGACCTCCGGACCGTACGGCAGACGCGAGATAACCTCCGGTGACATCCAATATGGCGTGCCGACAAGTGACTTCCGCTTAGGCAGTTCCTGCGAGACTTGCGCACAAAATCCAAAATCAGACAGCTTGACGCGACCGTCAGCGGCCAGCAGAATGGAATCGGATTTAATATCCCGATGTATAACGCCCTGTAAAGATAAATCAATGTTAAAACCAAATCACAATTCAATTCATCATTAGTGCGATAATTCCTCAATCTCAGTTCCAAAGCAATGAAAATATGTATTGTAAAATTTAATTACGAACTTGGATGTGACTTGAATCGAGTAACTAGCATTGAAAGGATTTATCTTATTTGAATCAAGAGATAAAAATAAATGGGAAATTAAATATTTGCTTCTTAACAACGTGTGGGTATTCAATTATTTACTTCTGGCTGCCTCGATAACGTCTCCTTATCTTCTTGTTGTTTATTCTGACAGAGAGGGGGGTCTCAATAAATTGAACTTCCTTAATGTCTGTCTACTCATTAAATAAACAAGACACATTTTTCTTATTCTGGTAAATAGAGAATTCAATTCTTAACAACTCAGGTGAGTTAGTTAAAGGTTATAGGCATTTCATTAATAGGATTTCTTTAATATTTAATGGTGAAGATATTTACGAGAAACTCATTTTGGGGCTTTGCTTTTGAAAGCGTTAATGAACATTTTAGACAATTTTTTTTAATTTATCAGATCAGGCACAACTTTTAGGTTCTGAATTGAGTAGGGAACTCAAATAAATACATAAATCTTAACATTTCTCAAAACAAATAGATATACTCGTATATAGTATGTATAGATTGAGAAAAGTGCAGTGCAGTGTGCAGAAGATTTTCAGTTGGGGTGACGGCGACGACCGACCCGACCCATTGTGCGAACGCCGCCTGTTGTAGGTTGTTGTTGTGTGTCGCATGTACTTGTAGTATGCAGGTATAGTATGTATTCATACTACAATGTTAGTTGTCGCTTATCGTATTACAGCGACGACATTTAGAAATCGAAACCGCGCGAAAGCAGGGCGCAAAGAAAGCGCACAAATGGAAATGAAAAGAATCGAAATGTGGACGCGACGGTATTGTTTTCTCTTCGCCGCATTTTCTGAGCATTTCTATAGTCTTAGCCATGCTAGTCACGCACCTGTGAGTGCAAATAGGCCAAAGCCTTCAAGCACTGCTTACAAACGGTCGCTATTTGTTCCTCATCCATGCGCGAATGTGTGACAATGTCGGTGAGGGCGCCACCCTCCAGATACTCCATGACAACCCAGAGCTCATCGTTGACCAGAAAGCTGGAGTACGTCTCGACAATGTTTGGATGGTGGTAGTCACGCATGATGACCACCTCGTTAAAGAGCAGCTCGCGCCTCTGTTGCTTGCGCAGATCCATCTTCTTGACGGCCACCTGGCGACCTGCAAACCAAGCGTTGAGAAGTAGAAGTAACAGAAAAGATGGGGATGGGGATGGACATGGACATGGGGGAGAGTGTGGATAAGGAATTTGCCAATCTTGTGTGGTAGTGGTGGTGGCGTACCTGTAGATTTGTCAGTGGCAATGCAAACTGTGCCTGTAGAGCCTTCGCCGATTTTGTTGAAGTTGTCCAGATTCTCTCGAGGATCCCCGGCGGACACAACCATTTGGAGTGCGGCACGGAACTGCTCGTGGGTAAGACGCTGCTCCTGCTTCGGTTGTGGAGCCGCCTGCTGCGCCGCAGCAAGTGCTGCATTGTTGGTGCTGGCACCGCCGCTCGAGCTGGAAGCACGCGACGCGGACTTCGCATGGTTATGCGAATGCTGGGCGTGCAGGGGATTTTGATTCTGATCGCCCACTGTTGCATTTGGTAGAGCCGCTATGGGTTTTGGTTGCTGCTGCTGCTGATGTTGGAGTTGTTGGTGCTGCTGCTGTTGTTGCTGTTGAGATGCAGGGTACATTGGGAAATTGCTGATGCTGTTGCCGTTGTTGTGGTGGGAGTGTGTGGAACGCGTTGCACTGGTCACAGAGCCGACCGGCGACGTTTGCTGCATGCCGGAAGCTGCAACGGCCGTGCGATATTGCAGATTTGTGGGCTGACTCTGTGACAGATCGGTGCGCACAGCGAGCGGACCTGTGGAACCATTGGGATGCGGATGTTGACTGGGGTACAGCATATGTGGCATGGCTTGGTTGAGCTTAAAGCCAGGCGTAGGCGCCATTGACTCTTCCTCGGGCACGGCGGGTGGCACGTTTGCCACACGACGCACCCGTGGCGGACTGGAGCTGCGTAGCGAGTTGGAACGCGCCACATGTGACGTCTTTGGAAGCACAATGCCGGGAGGGGGCGCTCCCATGCCTCCGGATCCAGCCATCATCGAGCCCGAGGCCGTCATCATCATGGTGCTGCTGCTGTTTAGTGACGTCGTGTCGGCCTTGTTGTTGTTGTGGTGGGGACGCACAATCGTCTTCAGGTCAAGTATCTCTGTGGGCGTTATTTCTGAGGGATCGACAAGCGGCAATGGGCGATTGGTTGACTTCAATATCTGGTTGTTGCCCACTATGGAGGCCCATTGCAAGGGCAGGCCGACGTATTTATTTTCGCGTTTGTCGAATCCCGTATGCACGCGATGTTCAAAGTTGCTGGGCATCGAGATGAGGGGTTTCTTCTTCTTTTTGGAAAACATACTCGCTATTGTTGCTGAATTGTCGGATTCCAGATGGAACTGTTTAGGTACCGTGGTAATGGAAGTGGTTGTGGTTTTGCAGCTTTATGGTGAATCGAAAAGTTGAGCTAATTTACAAATTTCCCGTCGCAGTTTGTTGGCTTTTCTTTTTACCGCCCTTTTACCCGACGACGTCTTCTAATCGTCACACACACATAGATTTACAGGCACAGACACACACACACATTGCGACGGATGCGAGTTAGTTCTCTTTATGCGCGTAATAGATGCTCACTCGGCATATTGATTATATACAGCATGGATAGTTATTAACAAGTTGCAACAAAAACACACCCTAAGCTACAGAAAACAAACACAAATGAAAACTAAAAAACTCAAAACACATTAATTGCCCGATCCGAATGTGATGCTTAGCAACTAAAGGTGGGCGATGTTTATATATTTGTGACTTTGTCACGAGTACTACATATAATATCACAGGCCGGAAAATACTAAAATCTCACAAGCTAACTGTGTGTTAACAGCACTTATTGGCAGCGCCCCTTTAAATATACGGTACCCACGACTTTTTTAACGCAAAGGCGCGCGTTGTCTTGATTTGCGACCAAATTTACTTGTATTCTAGTGTTACCTATGAACCTCTATATTAAAGACATTTTTTCTATGCGGAAAGAGCACACTGAAGCTGCAATTTTATTTCCAACAACGTGTACTTAAATTAATTGTAGTGCCATGGAAAAAATCGGAAAAAATTCCATCAAACGATCATTATTGGATAAGACATAGACATGTAAGCTTTATTTGCAGCAATATAATTATATCATGTGTGTAAGCTTTTTCCAAACAACATAATTTTTGCCTTATTTTCGGACCAAGGCAACAAATGATCGATGGTTTTCGCAATGATTTTATTTTATTCCATCCCTTATGGATTTGTATAAAAATATATGATATTTGCACAAATAACATCATATTTTAATTATTAATATTTAATGCTTTAATAAGGTAATATTTAAAAAAATTTGCAGAACAAAGCTTCGTGTACCAATTCCATAAATGAATAATTAATAATTCTAATGCATTAAATTTTGGTATGGTAAGGATTGTAAATCCCCTTCATAAGAATGCCATTAGACAATTTTAGCGAAATAAAATGACCTTAGAAGGTACTTGGGGAATATTTGTTGGAACTTTTAAACCGTTTAAATGTTCTGTGACATTGTAGACCTTATCTTTTCTGTTTTGTCACAGTTTTGGCTTGTGACATCGATGCTGTCGTCGTGACTTATCCCAAATACGAAAATACTATCATCACTAGTCGCTGACGTGTTTCCAAAAACATAATCACGAATTAGTTGCCTTTAACATAAATTATAACACATAGCTGAGCAACAATGAACGGGGCAGCGCGTACAACACACAACTAAAACTATATATTTTTTAAATAAATACTAGCTACTCATACACAAGGGAACAAAGTAAAGTATTTCGACATTTAACATAGAAGAACGATTGCGGTTGCAAGCTGAATGAAAGCGTTCAGCAACGGCGGCCTTAATGACAACAACAAATTAAACATATAGTCGTATTGAAAGACACGACGGTGTCAGTAACAGCAGCGGCAGCAGCAGCGCCGACGACGGCGGCGCATTGCAAAATTGTAGCCGTGGCCCAAAAGCAGAGCAAGAGCAGCCAGTAAAGTGTTAGACACGCAATCATAACGCCAGCGTCATCCAAGCCGAGCCTCTAACACTAAGAGCAACAAAAATAACAAAAACAACAGCAGCAACATGGCTCTACTGACGATGATCGCTCGAGTTATTGATGGCCTGCCACTGGTTGGCACCATGCAGGACGATGAACAGGTGCGTTGCAATACCCAAAGATCAAAGCCCCATCCCAACATCTATATACATCTATATGTATGTACGAGTATATGTGTAAACTTTTGCACACTTTCACTTTCTATGTGGCGACGCAGAGCGGACGCAGCATCTTGGACTATCAAAACCAGGCGAAAATGCTATTTCGCAAGCTGGGCACACACTCGCCGGCACGAAGCAGCATCGAAACAGGACCATATCTATTCCAGTAAGTATGCGATGCTGATGTAATGTGCCCCTTGATTTGGGAAAGCTCATCAATCCAGCCTACGATACGCATCAGCGCATAACACCATTACTTATACATTGTACTTTGCATGGAACTCGCAGCTATCTAATCGAAAATGAAGTCTGCTATTTGGTAATGTGCGATAAAATGTATTCGAAACGTTTGGCCTTCAACTACCTGGAGGACTTGGCGCAGGAGTTCCATTTGAACTACGGACGTCGTGTGAACTCCGTGACACGCCCCTACGCCTTTATTGAGTTCGACGTGTACATACAGAAGTCGAAAAAACAATTGACTGACCGAAGACGCAACATCAGCAACATAAACACGCAGCTCCAAGATGTGCAGCGAATCATGGTACAGAACATTGACGATGTGCTGCAACGTGGCACGGTCCTGGCAGGTGCGTAACATCCACCAATTCTACATCATTCAAATATACTTTCATTACGCATATCTATGCTTTCCCACAGAGCTGGATACGAAAACGCAGAATCTGTCGATGATGTCGCAGAAATATAAGAAGGATGCCAAACTACTAAATCGCAAGTCGATGTATGTGAAGGCGGCGGCCGTTGGCATCGTATTCCTAGTGTTTATCTTATACTTTTGGGTTTTGTAATATTTGTTAGTTATAGTAGTTGCTAGTTGTAAGCGAGGCAGCGGCGTGTTGTCGCTATCGCCGTTGCCGTTGCCGGCCTCGTTAAGCATTGTGCTGTGGAGCGTCATAGACGCGATCGAGACATGTGCGCCATGCCAAAAGACATTTATATATTTCATATTTGACAATTGTGTGTCAACAAAATCATCGAGAACGAGCTGGTACATAAGGCACGCGCTGCTTGCCTGTCGTTTTACAAATACCTTGCTTTGCGTTTGGGCCAAAATTTCGTTTCTGTAACTCACAACTACACCACATACAAAATATAGTATACAGATATAGGCATTTTTTATAGAAGCCCCGGTGTTTGTTTATACAAGTTTTTCTACCTTTTGTCATTCTTTTGGTTATTGTGTATCTACTACTATAAATTTTAATCGAATGGCTTCTTTGGTTCCCGCCAATTCCGTAAATTTTGTGTCCAGCAAATGGTGTTCAAAATATTATTTGAAAATGAGAACAAAATCTATGTTCCACAGCGGTGGAAGCTTCTTTGGGGTTTAATTTTCAACCAAAAAGAAAACAAATTGCATTTGAAATTTTATTTGAACGCTTGCGAAGTGAATTTGTAAAGTAGAGATCCAAACTGTTGTGTGTATAAAATTACGAATGGTATGTAACATTAAAAACAAACAAACAGTTTTAGGCAATTTATATATGAAAATAAATCAATTTACATTGTTTATCAAATATTTTTCTGCAATGCACTCTGGGAGTGTGGTAGCATATTATTCGTCGATCGATTCCTCAAACATTTCAAAACAGAACTAATTTAACTGAAAGCACCAGACACTCATTACCTTAACGTCGTCAGAAGAAATTCTATTTTTCAGCCAACCGCAAATCGAGAAAATGACTTCCAAACATTGTGAGGAAAACAATTCTGAAATAATACTATTCCCATTTTTTTCTATCGCTTTTGAAAAACTTAAGTGAATAAAAATATATAAATAAATATAAATATAAAAAAATAGTAAATTGGAAAAGCCTTGTATCTAACTTCCTGAAATTCAAACAAAGTTGAATTCTGCACCGATCTTTCCCACGGCAGCTATATAACACAATGCTCGGACTTTCACCATAACGTGGGGCATTATAATTTATTAGCTATTTCGCTCGTACGATCTAGATATATTGTTTTTTCTCGCCATATTGGGATGTATTTGAGATTTGCGAATAATTTTAGAAATTCAAAACAGATGGATAATCATTGAAGACGGTGCACTTCTTTACATACGGTTTATAAATAAATGATTAAACTTGAAGTTGTCAGCATCAATTATTTTGATTTGCCATCAAATCAAAGATTGAATTTTCCTTTTATTACGTCTTTCTCAAATATATCTAGATGTATGTACATATCTCCAATTCCATATTATGGACTCAATATCAACTGGAATTTAAACAATTTTTGATGAATATTAATGCATTTTCGAACATGATTACGAACCAGATTGTAATTATAGTATTTACGCTTGAAAAGAAAGTCGAAGAATATTTAAACAACAGAGCTGTTTCCCATTTATTCAAAATCGATTTAAACACATTTGATAATATTAATTTCTTTTATTGTCTTGATTGTTTGTTCGATGAAGATTTATAACATAGGTATATATTTAATAAAATATACATACAAATAATGGGTTGATTTGTAGCGTGTTGGTGTTGTGGTTGTGGTTGGCGTGTTTAAAAATAAAATTACAAATATTTTATACATACAATATATAAAAAAATCAATTGCTTGTGACCTAAAAACTACGGGAGAAAGTACAGGAGACTTCAGGAATTCGGTGTGCGAGAGAAAGTGGAAGAGGAAGAGAACAAAAATGGGAGTAGATGAGCAATAAAGATATACAAGTAGGTAGATGTAGATATAGACAGAGATATGTTAGCACTTGTGGCAGGCAGTGAGTGAAGGAAAAACTATAAATTCGACACAGCAAAAAGTTGAGTATATAGGAAGTATAGTATATAGTTCAGTATTTTACAAATGTGCTGGTACTGTTTTTTTTACAAATTGTTGTTTTTGCTGTAGTAGTTTTAGGGTGTGGGTGTTTGTGTTGGTATGGGCGTGGGGTGTATGAAGCCTTAGTTGCGCTTCCTTAAAGCTAAACGGCCAATGGGACGTTTTGGCTTTGCCTCCTCCTTTTGCTGCTGCTCGGACTCCTCAGCGGCAGCATCCTCCACAGCAGGCTCAGGCTTGCCGGGTTTGGCCAACTTGCGACGACTCACTAGCATTGGAAAGGGAAATGAGCTATAATTGGTTGTTTAGTATTATAGGATCCTTGACTTACATGCCGCATTGCTCTTGTAGCCCTTGCCTGGCGCTGGAGCAGCGGGCGCTGGCGCAGCAGCTGGCGCCGCCTCCTCGTGCTCGTCGGAGGAGTCCTCAGTCTTCTTGTTGAGCTTCACGGGGGCCTTCTCGGCGCGATGTTTCTTTGCGTTCTGCTGGCGACGTTTCAGCGAGTTGAGGAAATCATCGTTGGAGCGGAAAGGACGTATAACGGGGCCTACTTTCTTGGGCGCCTCCGTACTGGTTGTGGTCGTAGAGCTTTGTGCCGACGGCTCATCGCCCTCTTCCTGTTCATCGTTATAGTCGCCCAACTCACCGTCATCATCAGAAAGCGGTGCCGGAGTAGTTGTTGTGGTTGCCTTCGCCGCCTTGCCCACTGGACGACGCAGTGCAGCAATTCGTTTGGCCGGCGAGCCTCCTGGCGCAGAATCGTCCTGGGCAGCACATAGGCCGTAGCTCAGTGCGCAGATGATGAAGAGCAGGCAACTGAAATAGAAACAGATAAATAAATTAAAATGTGTTAAATACTACTAGATTAGACTATCGAAAATAAATCAGAAAAAACAACTAAATATTGGATAAAAAAGGATACAAAAAAACTAAATGGGAGACACCATTTGTTTAGTTCAAATCGATTCATTGAGAAAAGTGTAATCAGGTCATATTTTGAATTGTAATATAATTTGAAAATTAATGTATTTAGTAGAGGCTATTTTGATAGATAAATATGCTCGTTTAAGTGATAGCGATTTGAAATTACTTTTCTTCTTCTGCAGAAAATAAGTTGCTTTATTTGTTTTGATTACATTTAATAAGAGTACTAGGAACTTGGTTTTTAACTTTAACTTTAATAGATGTTTACAGATTGTGTACAATCATCATTTTGATAAATAAATGAATTTTATTTTTTCTTTGTGACAATCTTGCGTTCAAATATGTAATTCCTTTAATGAAATGTAACAGTTAGTAACTAAACGAATCAGACGATGAAGTGGCAATATATAAACGAACTATGATTATTATTAATTTTAGATAACATAAAACGAAATCCTGTCAGCGGAAATTTTTTTATTATACTTAAATAATTCTAAGACAGTTACACTAAAAATATTTCAATTGAAGTCGACTAAAGTTCTTAAAATTTTGCTTGCGACGTCAGATTTTTAATTTGTGGCAACCGCTTTGTGAAATCTATGTTAACGAGTGGGCAGCTCTGTCCCCTGTGTTGCAGCCCTGAAAACCGTTTATATTTTGCTTCATCAGCTGATAGAAAGTACGAAAATTCGTATTACACAATTATTTTCGTTATTTAGGACTAGAAAATAAAAGGACATATTCCTACTCGATAGTAAGGCGTTAGATTTTGAATTTTGGTCACACTCTAAGTCGTTTTCGTGGGCACTATTTAACAACAAACCCTAAACTTGCCTTGATAATATGTTAATTATCGACATTAGTGCAATAAATTAGAATATTTCTAAATGTGATTATATTATTTATCCTTCTAATTTGAAATTTGTATTCAAAAAGAGAAAATTAGTTTTTGTATTATTGTGTTTGTATTATAATTCCGTTCTTGATATGAACCAGAGACGAGTATGTTCTGATATTTAACATATAATAAATTCAAATAAAAACTGTTGCTGGGCACTCATTAGATATTCCGCTTTTTGCTATTGAATTTGTTAATTGGATGGCTTTCCAAAAAAAATAAGAAAAAGAACAACAAAAACTATATACATATGTAGGTATGCATGTATACAATGCATGGTAAGGCATAACCAGTGTAAAGCACATGGCTAGTTTGACAAGTTTGCCGCATTAAGCGAGAATCGGTGATCGTTTGTCATGTCGGATAATGCGCGAATGCGGCGCTTTGCTGCGAAGATGCTCCAACCAATATTATTAATGTGTAAAGGTCAGACAAACGGGTTTACTCACTTTCGATTTTAAAATATACATATGTGTGTATGTATATATTAATGTTAATCTAATTTTAAATTTATCATTTTTTTTTTTTGTCAGTTGTTGCGAGCTTGCCATATTTTGCTCATTTTAATGCAAAACAAAAGACTTAAGCAGCGAACTGGAACTAGTTTTGAAATTCTTTCAATTAGAGTCGGTGTGTGTGTGTATGTGAATGTTGTTGTTGTTGTTGTTAATGTTATTGTCTAAGGCCAGGCTAGGCTGCAACTATTGCCGTTTGGCCGATTGCTTGTTTGGCCGATTGGCTTGCTTGGCTCGGCGGGGCTCACCTTTCAGCCACCGCCACCATAGGAAACAGAAACACAGAAACACAAACAAAAACAGGTGCTTATGCAAAAAGCGACGTCAGCAACAGCAACAACAGCAACAACAGCAACAACAACAACATTAACAACAAGAGTACAACTAATAACAACAACAGCAGTAACACCTTAAAACCAGTTAACGCCACAACGTTGGTTCAGAATAAATTTAAATGCGCACATGATCGGCACATGAAATTGGCTAATAACGGTAAAAAGTGCATGCGGTGCCAAGTCATAGACATGGACATGTGATTGCTTGTGACTGGGACCATATAAATAAGTTTATGCACACAACGGCAACAATGTTGCATGGCGCATTTTATTTTTAGCCCGATGTACTCGTACAAATTTTTATACATGTACTCGTACATACATACATACTTGTATGTATGTATGTATGTAGCCCTGTTGCTGTGTTTGTTATTGTTACAGTTGTTGTTGTTGTTGTTGTTGGTATTGGCCAGTTGCATCTTTTCTCTGTTTTCCGTTTGTTGTTTTTATTTAAATCGATTTGCTGCCATTCCAATTTTTTCCTTCTTTTTCGCTGTTGGTATTTTTGCAATGATTAGGGTCAAAAGCGTCATGTCTGTTTGCATTTCAATCGCAGGCGTCTTATGCAACAAGAGCCCCAAGCTGAACCAACAAACATGAAAGGTGAAAGGCGTTGCCTGTTGTTGTAATTGTGTTTTTTGGTGTTGCGCTCAGATTTACAGACAATTGTGGGTGTGTGCGTGTTTCGTGCTTTGAATCTGTAACTTCTTGATCGAAATTCAAGTGTCGTCTCTCTCGCCATCGCCATCGCCACCGCCCTCGCCCTTGCCCCTTTGTCCATCCCTGTTCATAAGATTGTGGTCGTCATCGGCAGCGTTGCCTGTGGTCGCGTCTATGACATTTGCCATGCTAACGCCACCGCCGCCACCACTGCCACCACTGCCACCACCACCACTACCGCCTCCGCAGCCACGTTCAACCGGTTTCCATTGGATTTGACACAATCGCAATCACAATGAGACGCACACATTTCTAGCCCCTATATACAAACATACTTACATATGTATGTGCATATATACTCTATATACTCGTACATGTATAAGCACATTTTCTTATTCATTTCGCTTTTTTGTTTTTTGTAACTACTCGGATGTCTAATGAGTTGAACCTGTTATATAAGCCGACATTAGTTGCAAATTTATGTGATAAGCATCATAGCATAAGTAGCCAAGACTGACTGGTATAGAATTTTGAGTGGCTCTGCTCGAGGCGGAACTTCAAGCTTGTTTGTGATAAAATTTAATTTAAATGCATCATCATCATAGCCATCATCATCATAGCCATCGCCATCGCCATCAACGTCAACATCAACATCACCATCAGCATAGCCGTGATCAGAAACAGAAACGGCAACAGCAACAGCAACAACATTGGCCGCATGGTCAAGTTTTTTATGTTCCCCAGCCTTGTTTGCTTTGAGATTTTTTGGTTTTGTCATTCAATTTTCATTGCTAAAATAGTTCGTGGCGTCATGTCATGGCTGCTAATGTGAAGATAGAGAGAATGGGCTTCCACCCCGTCCACTTAACCTTTATTTTATATTTTTAGTGCACATTTCCTTAATCGTGCTTTTTGTTTCCGAAAAGGTCAATAAGCATATCTGCTGGCTACTAAATTATCTGAAACAGCAGTATTACCAAAGAATAGCAGTGAACAAATTTAATGGCACCGTCCCCATACTTCAGCAACGATATCTGCAAGCATTTTGCCAATCCTTGGAACAGTCTTTATTTTATCATTTACTTCTGAGAGTGTCTTAAACTTTATTTTATAAGTATTTTACAGCAAAAGCTTTCAACGGCATATATGTAATATCATTCAATTAAAGCGATAAATTAAAATTGAAAAAGATCTGAACGGAATATTCTCTCTTTTATATTTTGTAGTACAAGCCTTGAGGAGTAATTAAAATATCTGATCATCGTCCCACTGTGCACAACACATTCACAATTTCTGCGATAATTTTATTTTCTTGACGCTGCATCTAATTACTGAAAGAACATAACTTTTCTCTAAACATCTGGGGCCAGACCGACTGTTAAGTATCCTTAAGTTGCCAGCGCAATGATTCACTTGTTCCTCCTAGATATTGCACATATTCTCAAAAATCGAAGTACACTATATTGTAAATTAGTTTAACATTTGGGTTCTTTCTTTAAAAACGCATCGAAAGAGAAATATAATATATTCACAAAGTTGAGCAGATAGTTGGTAAGTAGTGTGGCGTCAGAAACTATTTATAATTTATGCCATTTATCATTTTACGATAGTCCACTTCCTATATCTTCATTATCAACTTTTTCACATTCCTAGCTTATCCTTTAAAAATACTCATTAATTTGTCTATAGTGTCGCGTAAATTCGTAACTACTTGTACCTAGAACTATGACTAGGGCTTGTGATAGTGTCAGCTGCTTGCACTTTTCATTGTTATGGCGCGAGGCAAATAAATATGCATTTAGTCCGAAACAGCCGATTTAAACTGCGCACGTTTTAATGCCTTTTTGGCCTTTTTGAAACGCAAGAAACGTTTGCGCATGCGCGTGGCATTCGTGGCATTTGTGTCGCTAGTGTCGTTTGTGCTGTAACTGTTAGTGGGGCCAGCGCATAAGCGAGCATAAGTAAGTCAGTAAGTAGGTCCAATAACAGTGCCTTTAGTACGTGCTTTTTAGTTGGCCTAAACAATGTGGGGCCTGTACCACCTTTTAAGTTCAGAAACCTAACGCATCGCTCGTCAGAGTATCAAATCATATACATAATTGTTATATGATATTCGGGATTCCCAGAGCTACTTGACAAATGGCTCTAACGCGTACAATTTTTAGTTTTTCAGCAAAGCAATTAAACAAAATCTCCCTTTCATAAGCCCCTCCACCATTCAACAGCTTGTCATATCTACGGATCGTCTAGTATTATATGCTGGTCCTTTAACTGGGTGTCTTTCGAAAGTCTTGCTTCTCTTTTTTTTATGAACACTCAACGCACGCAAAAGCCCCACCGTACGCGATTGTTGTTCAGGTAGCAAGTTCGTTGCTTGAGTCTTTTGATTTGTGCTACAGTTTAGGCATTTTTGTGTTTGTTATTGTTGTTGTTGCCATTAAGACTGACCGACTAACTGACTTATGTACATTGAATGGTACTTTTGAAATGCGAGCACACAAACGGCAATTCACAGCATATTTGAACGCTTGATTTTCGTTTGAATTCGCACTTTTGCGCCAATGATGTGGCCCTTGAAAAAATGGCAATGCAATGTTCAGATGATGTATTTATGAAATATATAAATGATATATATTTGTGTTTGTGTGTGTGTGTGTGTGTAATTGTGCCTGTGTCTGTGTGTGTTCGATAGGCATTCTGGTTTTTCAAAAGTGCTCTACTCTGTGTTAATTTAAATATTTAAAACAAAAATTGCATAATAAAGTAATTTGTGCGCAAAATAAAATGAAACGTGTGTCTGTAAGCAGACAGTCAGACAGACAGACAGACAGACATGCAAACAGACAGGCAGCAACAAGCAGGCAAGCCCCGAAAAAAGAGGAAAAAAATTAAAAAAACCGTAACTAAATTAAAATCCTGATCTTGCCGTCAACTTGGCGCTTTGCAGTACTGCTGTTACTGTGGCTGCTGCTGCTGATGTTGTTGTTGTTGTTGTTTTTGGTGCTGCTGCTGCTCGTGCTGTTGTGGCTGGCAGCTGTGGCTTAAACAATTTTTATTTCTGCCTGTGATTAATTTCAATACACTTGGCGATTAACATATTATTTCAATTGCAGCAACTGCAATCGATGTGAGTGTCTCTACGGACGCATGTCTTAATATATATATACATATATATATATATATATATATATATATATATATATATATATATATATGTGTGTGTGTATGGTTGTGGGGCTTGGTGTGGCTGGTCTGTCAGTTTGCATTAAAAATGCAACCGTTAATTTAAAAGGCAACTCCGAGCAGCCGCAGTCACAGCCGCAGCCGCAGCAGCGGCAACATATCGTAATTAATCCAATAATTTGCTGTTAGCCGTAGCTTGAAGACTGGCGCACAGCAGCTGAAAAACAGCAGCAGCAACAACAACAACGGCGGCAACAGCAACAACCATCAGCTGACGACCTTGAAACATTTCTTTCAATCAATTTGAACGGCACGCCAGCTGCCAACTGCCAATTGCCAATGATGAGCTGTCAATTAGCCACGACCATGTGCATTTGGCTTTTGCCATTTCTTTAAGCCGGTCTCACAGCACACACAATATCACCAGCAACAACAACAGCAACAACAACAGCGACAACAATGGAGCCAACACTTTGACATTTAGCGCACAGCTCGAAGGAGTGTTAAAGTTCAAATTGGTATTCTTCTCTACCTCCGCCTCCGCCTCGTTCTTCATCTTCAACTGCACCTCTCGAAGATGTCGTGCCAGCGCGAATGTTGCAAGACATGTTTCCACAACCATACATACTTGTACATACATACATACACACTTAACAAAAATGCAAGCACGTATATTATATTCACATATAAATAAATTAAGTCGATAAGTCGATTTTCCTCTCGCCATAATTGACATGATTAATACAAGAATAGAACGTGTTCTAAAAATATAAAATTCGCAACTGCTAGAAACGATCTTTCCATATCCCCTTCCATTCTAAAATGAAAACAGTTTTCCCAGTCAGATATTGCCGATTTCTAAAACAAATCGTGCACCATTAATTGACATGTTCATGCTCATATTCCATTACATTACTTTTTTAAGCTATTTATAAACATTTATAAATTCGTGATTTCCAAAATAAAAACAAAATAGAGGAACATTATACCACTTCAAGAAATTGGTTTCCTTTTGGACTGCAGTTACCGCTTCAATATTTATAATCTGTATATTGTAAAAAAAAGGATACGACAAAAAAAAAAGGCACTCACATGTTGTAGAACTTCATTGTGTGTGGATAGGTGTGTAGGTTGTTGGCGTGTTAAAGTTTTTGGCGCAAAAATTGTCGCAACAAAAAATATAGTAATAAGTTGGAAAAAAAAATTGTAACACACGCGAATCTTGTTTAGAAATAAGTATTAGTTTAACACGACTTCCAGACTGAGTTCAACAATTCGCGTTTGCAGTGAGCTGGGACTGGAGACTGGAGACTGAAAACTGAAAGCCAAAAGTGAACTTTAGGTGCAAGGCTAGGCACAGCACGGAATCTCGGCAACCAACTGAGTGCGTTAAGCCACGATCGACTTCTAAAGGCAGACTGAACGTTACTTATGCCGTGTGCACAGAGTTAACCTACGGCCACCCAATATTTTGAGGCTTGTATGGAGCGAGCAAACGTCAACTATGGCGATGGCGATGGCGCTGAAGCTGAAGTTGAAGCAGAAGCAGAAGCTGACGTTGACGTTGACGGCGCTGCCAGCAACACTCGACGCAGCAACAACAGCAACAACTTGTCGAGCCACACCGCCCTAACCAATAAATTGACTGACTGACTGACTAACTGACTGACTGACTGACTGACTAACTGACTAACTGACTCACTGACTGACTCGTACATATGTATATGCAAAGAGTGCAGGAGCACTTCTGGTTTATACGAGTACTCAGCCAATTTGTCAGTGTGCTGTTGCTGACGCGGCCATTACCGCACAGTGGTCTCCAATTCCAATCAAGCCCGTAAAACATCCTCAAAGAAGACTGCTTTGCAACTTCTTGCTCAACTACGAGTGCTTCAAGATGTAGATTTGAAAATCTATGATTTTTCCCAAAGGCCGATTAAAGTCTTACAGTTTGGCCCGAACAACAAAAATTGTAACGACTCATAACAATGAAAATGATTTTTAATTCTGTATGCACGAGTTTCAGAATCGGTGTGGTTTGAAATCTCTTTCCCCCGCTATCGCTCCCTGCTGCTCTCACGCTCCTTAATTTCGGAAACCTCACTGATTTGTGTAGTTTGTGATTTTTCCTTTCATTGAACGACGATTACACATTGTAAGTAATTTCAAAAATAAAACAAGAACACAGAAACAATAATCATCATCCGACTGAATACAAGCTTTTGCATGATCAAGAAGAATTCCCCGAAAAGTTAAACAAACAGACAAATACGTCAAAAAAAAATCATTCACAAGTGGCGATCGGTTGGAGCAACTTTTGGTTGACAGACAACTTGAGCGGAACAAAGCAAGAACACAGCTTTCGCAGATAATTCTATTAAATATGATGATTTGGAGTTATTTAATGCCATTTCCACTAATTTCACCGAAGATTTATCATAATTGTGGTCCATCACGACCATCTTTGATACGTAAGGGATATTTTTAAGAAGTCCTGTTTTCTTTAAGAGGCACCTTGCAGCAACAAAATACTTTTTTTTAAATCTATAAATCTTTTTTTGCTAAATTTGTTTCATTTGAAACACAGATATGGCCATGAAACTGTAGATACATTATATAACTTAACAATTTTATGTAGCTGTCATAGAAACGATCGATACAGTAATTGCTCTTGGATTAATAAGTTTTCTTTTATTTATTTAGTAAATCAACAAGTTTTCTGTAGAATAGTTTGTATTTATGGTTGCCATACGATACTCAGAAGTTTCTTAAATATCGGCCCACTATTCCATAAATCTGCCATAGGAGGGATCGGTGCAAAAAAACAACAATTTTAGTACTAAACATTTGTAATTATTTAACTTTTATATTAATGTATATTCACAGTTTAATTTCTTGCATTTCATTCCACTCTATGGGTAATTTCTTAAGAAACGTACCAGAATCGGAAACTCAGAAAAGAGAAGAATTGCGTGTATAAATATTTTCGAGCTGCTTCACCTTTTTCGCAAGTCAAACAACAAAATTGGGGAAATTTTAATATTTTAATACTTAAGCTTTGATGACAATTCAAATTAGAGTCTGTGGCTTCATAGCTTGAATCTGGGGCATATTTTTGACTAATTAATCGAAATAGCGTGCCAAGCAAAGTCTAGACAATCTAAATCGGTAACTGATAGTATGTATTATTTAGTATTATGATAAAAATCCACAGCAATGAAGCCAACGGTGCTTGAAGTCTATGGGTAAGCGGCCAAATGGTAGCCATTTGAGCAGACCTGATAAAAGCAGTCCTACTTGTGAGTTATTTCTTTTAAATACCTCATCATATTTTGAAGATTATAGTACTTATAACAAAACTAAAAAAGGAACGATCGCGCTGCGTAAATCAGTCTCAGTACCAGAAACATGTTTGTTTATCAATTGAATCAGTTGGTTTTGCAGGTTTTTTTTTGGATCAGCTTAAGCTTTTTTTTTTAGACACTTACCCGAAAAGAGTAAAAAGGTTATACTAGGTTTGTGACAATGTATGTAACAGACAGAAGGAGGCATCTCCAAACCCTAAAAGTCTGTCTATATGTCTGTCTGTATGTCTGTCTGTATGTCTGTCTGTATGTCTGTCTGTATGTCTGTCTGTATGTCTGTCTGTATGTCTGTCTGTATGTCTGTCTGTATGTCTGTCTGTATGTCTGTCTGTATGTCTGTCTGTATGTCTGTCTGTATGTCTGTCTGTATGTCTGTCTGTATGTCTGTCTGTATGTCTGTCTGTATGTCTGTCTGTATGTCTGTCTGTATGTCTGTCTATATGTCTGTCTGTATGTCTGTCTATATGTCTATCTGTATGTCTGTCTGTATGTCTGTCTGTATGTCTGTCTGTATGTCTGTCTGTATGTCTGTCTGTATGTCTGTCTGTATGTCTGTCTGTATGTCTGTCTGTATGTCTGTCTGTATGTCTGTCTGTATGTCTGTCTGTCTGTATGTCTGTCTGGATGATTGCTTGAATTTCGGAAACGGCTGAACTTATTTTTATTTATTTTTATAGCCTGTACCCAAAGGGTGAAAGGCTATACTAGTTTTGTGCGCATGTATGTAACACACAGAAGGAGGCGTGGCAGACCCCACAAAGTATATATATTCTTGATCAGGATGAGAAGACGAGTCGATATAGCCATGTCCGTCTGTCCGTCTGTCTGTATGAGCGCAAGGATCTCAGTAAGTACAAGAGCTAGGATAACCAAAATTGGTATCAAGGTTCCTATAAGCCCTAGGCAGAACGAGTTTGTTTATTTTTTCTGATACACCCCCCCCACTCCCCCGCAATTCGTATTTTTTCTTATAACTTCCGTAATTCTCGGAATTTTGAAATTTTGGTAGGTACATCCAGTTAGTACTAATGTGTCCGTGTGCCAAATTTCATCATGATAGGTCAATTCTGAAGAAAGTTATAGCCATAAGTAAAATCGCTGCTCATGCGCTGCCTCTGTCGGCAGCGCTGCCCGCAGCTGTTGTTGTTGTTGCTGCTTTGGTTTAACTTTGTGCTGCATACATACACGCATATAAACACGCATAGGTACGTGATGTAAATGTATGCTGTTTAAACTGAACATAAACATGTATTCTAATTTAATTTAATTAATTATTTTAATTAATTAATTCATTCATTTTTTTTAATAATTTAATTTTTTTTAATTTTATTTTTTTTTTAATTTTTCCTTTTTGTGGAGAGTATAGGCTATTTTACTGTCGGGCTTGCTCGACTGTAGCGTTCTATCTTGTTTAAATTTATTTATAAGCCTTATCCTAGCGTTACAAGTCATTACAAATTTAATTATATTGAGCTTATTATTAGGTTATTTTCTTATTATTATCTTTAACATTAACATTAAACATTTTTAGTAATCTTTATAATTAATGTATATATTCTTAGGTTTGTTTTTATCAGTTTTAGTTGTTTTTAGTCGTAGCTCGTTACACAGACGAACAGCGAAAATAAAGAAACGCTTTTCTGAACAATGTTATTGGTTCTTCTTGATGTCGTGAAACTAATTCTTTCGTGCAAATAACATGGTTCCTTACTTGGAATAATTCTATGCAAGAACATTAGGGTTCTTAGTTTAAGCCAGGAATCAAGGGTCAGATTGTATATTATATGGGCGTACGTCGTTATGGAATCCCTTCTTTTAATATTGAACTACATTAATAAAACTTGGTATGTCAACTCTTTGAATCTGTAGACAGTGCGAGTTGATATTATTTATTTGTTATAGCTAGCTCCTTCCCTCTTCACAACACCATGCTTACTGTATGCCATTCCGAAACCATATAAACTAAGTTTTGAACAGGCCATTCATCGATAGTTCCTCTCCCCTATTTTTATAGAAGAAGAGATATAAATAGCTTGCCGGACTGGCTTTCAAATTTTCCCCCACCGGGTTGGAGATTTCGCCTTTACTCCTTATACTCTACTTAATTAGCTGTTAAGTAGAATTACTTTTCTTTCTCTACTTACTATTGGTTTTTATCCTGTTAGGTCCACATATGGCTGTGATTCGGGGCATAGCTGGCCAAATGCAAATATAATTCCCCCAACGGATCGGAGGCATTAATAGACGTTTATATTGTATTGTACAGTTTTTTCGTAGGCTTTCTCATCTTTTAAGTTGAAAATAAAACGTTGTGTTATTAAATATCTTTATTTTATATTATAATATAAATCATAGTTTTTGTATACAAGTATGTATCGACAGCACTATTTGTTGATATACTAAATAAATAAATAAATTTTGGTTTTCGTACAGGATTCTTTCTTCATCCGCTCCTCTACAGTTCGGATGATATAAGAGGGTATTTCAATGTCGGCCTTGCTCGACTGTAACAGTCTCTCTTGTACGAGTATGACTTACGATTGGGTTTTTTCCGAGCATGGGACCACGGTGAATTGCTGATCTGGCTGGCAGCGCCGGCGCCGGCGCCAATGGTAGTTATGACAGGTTTTTCTTTTGCCGTTTCAGTTTTTGGTATCGCTTTTGTGTTTGTTTTTGTTTTGGACTCGGCTTTGGTTTATATATTTTTTTGGCAACGGCCGTGCAATTTGTATAAACTTTTCAGTGGTTAATTAATTTATTGAACTCACTTCAGTTTCAGCCAATTGTAGTTTAATTAATTATTTATATGCTTGTGAATATGTAAATGCTGTATGCTGTGAGTGGTGTTTGGTGTGTGTTGTGAGGTGTTTGGTGTGCTTCGCTTCTAAATTGGCAACAGCTGCGCCCGGACTGGTAAATCCCGTCCGTCCCGGACGAGCAGTTAGACAGACAGTCGACGGGCCAAATGCTTTCGTTGCTCGCCATTTTTAGGCTGGCTGTGCATCGAGATACGCACATTCGTTTGATATGCCAGCCCAGATTGCTATGTAAATGTCGTCCCACAGTTGTAAAAAGCGAAAATATGTGCATTTGCATGCATATGCCATTATACATGGCCTTGAACTGATTTGAAATGTAAAATAAAAAAGCCGAAAATAAAACAAAAAACAAAAGAAAAAAACGTCGCCCCTTCACACCTTAAATGCTATTAATAATTAATAATAATTAATTCGAACTTCAAAATTTCGCAGGTGTCCTGCAACCGTCTGTGCCAGCCAAGAGTCGTGCCCGAGCCCGAGCCCTAGCCCGTGCCACTCCCAAGCCCCATCTTCGGTCGCAGCTCAGCTCAGCCCAGCCCGGCTCTAATGAATTGTGTTGTCTCTGATATTTTTGTGACCATTTTTGTAGCCAATCTGCCTTGAACTACAAAATGTCAGAGCTGGGAATAGATAGGTACAACAAATAAATAAGCATATGTACATACGTGTATACCTGTGAGAGAAACTTGTTAAATTAATTATTAATATGCGTTTACGCGTGCACAATACTTACCATGCCATTGTAAATGGAAATCGATTCGAATCGAATCCATTTCAAATAAATGCAAATGCTAATGATTTCTTTTCATCTTAGGGTCGCTCAGATGGGATTATGATGAATGGCGGCGATTTTCAAAAATGACAATGAAATTAGCCTGCGCCTCCAAAAACTACAAAAAAGCTGTTCACAAGCCATCAACAACTCTTTAGCATACGAGTATGTAGGTGTGTATGCAACCAACAACCACATTGTTGTCCCATAACTCATCGCTGCTGGATCGTTAATGGACCTGCTTGTCTATTGAGTTGGTTAAACGAAGTGTCAACTCATTAAAGGAGCTATGAATATATTTTCACACGAACACAAGAATGGAATGCCAGAGTCGAACGGTCCGACCTCTTAAATACCCTACACCCAATCCAAGCAGAAATTTTGAATCAAGGCATCACCAACAACAGCAACATCTGCTGGCATTACATTTATGACTATAACTTGCTTTCCAGTTGACCTAACACTACTTCAAGAATTCATTAAATGCGTGGGAGTAGTGGGTGTGTATTAGAAAAAGAATATAGAGTAAGCTTGTATCATACCAAGCTTAGGTGTTCTAGCTCTTACACATTCCAAGAATATAGAGTAAGCTTGTATCATACCAAGCTTAGGTGTTCTAGCTCTTACACATTCCAAGATCCTTGCGATCATACAGACGGACGGAAATTGCGATTAATATTGTCATATTGATGATGGATACACGTATAAATGCTTTGTGGAACCTGCTTCTGTGTGCTTCATACATTCACACGTCGGGTATATTGGTTTAACACTCAGAAGGCAGAACGGTAGACCACATGTTAGAAATTCATATAAAAGCAGCATAGCAGGACGAATCAAAATCCGTCTATCCGTTCAACTTTCTGTCAGTCTGTCACCCCGTCCATTAGTCTGTCAGTTTGAATTACTAGTCCTCCCGCAGTTTTCGAACTATCGCATTAAAACTTTGTGCCAAACGTGTCCAATGCCTCCTACCTCTTCGTGTCCCAATTTTTTCATGGGAAAATCCATCAGGATCCAGAAAAAATGGTGAAAACCCAAGTGTGCAGTGTTTTTTGAATTCTTTTATAGAATACAAAAAAATCAAGCCAATCGAATGAAAATTGCAGAGTTTTCATACAATATTTGGAGCCCGTTTTCCCCCCTTTGGCGTTCAAATTTTCCAAATTTTCTTAGTGCTCACCTCCTCCACAAAAGACAACTTGTGTTCAATTTTCAGCCACCTAGCTCTTACCGTTTGGGCTGTGCGTTGATTGCACATAGCCTTTCGTGTCCCATTTTTTCCACGGAAAAATCCCTATATTTCAGGCCCCAAATAGCAAATAACCATAACGTTCAGTTTTTCTTGTATTATTTTTGAGAGTTAATCGGATGAAAATTTTAGATTTTTCATACAAACGTTGGAGCCCGTTTTCCCCCCTTTGGAGTTCGAATTTTCTAAACCGCTTCTTAGTGCTCACTTTCATAAGAGGCTGAGAAGCAGCTGGAACGGCAAGAAGAAATGTAGACAAAAAACAGTTTTTGATGAAGAGTCGAAATATAAAAATAAAAAAAATAGCAGGGTCATAGAAACTTCAATAGCGGAAGGCAGAGGGTACGAATCAAAGAAATATAGTATGTAGTAATCGTCATCGCGAATGCACTAATAAAGAAAAAAAATTTATTTATTGGCTCTGATTTTAGGAACAGAATCTGTTGTCTCTGTTGACACACCAAAAGCAATTCTATTAGAAGGTCTTTATGTTCCTATAAGTGAGACAAAAAGCTGTGTAGCAGATTTTCTGGATTCCCATTCCTTTTACATTTTTTTCCTTGGAAATTGTAGATCCTTCCATCCAACCAACAACCATCCTTTTAATGGAGTATTCCTGGTATGGAAATAGAGCTTGTTTACGAAGCAGCACATTTGTTAACCTTCTGATACCATTTATTTATTTTCTTGAAAGTCAACTTTTCTTATATCATACTGTTTCCTTTCCAGCTTGATTTAAAAATGCTATGGAATTTTGTTGTGTCCAGTGAATTTCAACCAAAATACATACATATAAGCATTCAATACTGATTGTGATTGTTACAAATCGTCTTTATTAGTTTCTCAGTTCATCAGTTATACCGTTCTTAAGTTCGATTCTAGCATTACAGATCGTTACAGATCTTACAGTCAAAGTAACTATATTATATTTGAATACAAAAATACGCGAGTTCATCCAAAATCTGATGCTAAGACTTTTATTATTCTTCGCTATACATATTTAAATGCAATGCTTTGCGATTGGAGTTTTGTTTTTCATTATTCAGCAAACAGATGGTTCCTAAAACTGCTGAGTAGGCGATTGGTCAGTCTCATTGTTTGAATGTTTCTCGATTGCTGTTGCTTGATCAGTGATGGAGAGCTGTGGGAATTGCTGCTGCAGCTGCGTGCAAAAAACAAAACAAACGAATTGGTAAACGAAGGAAAAAATGGGAAAAGTAAGAAATAAACATTGAAAAGTATACTCGTAAATTAAAATTTGAATTTTATACACATTACTTTATTTTTATCGAAATTACATGTAATTACGTTTAAAGTAGATATAGAATTAAGCATCGTAATACAAAATTATAAGATATAAAGCAGCGCTCGAATAAAGTATAAGTAATTCGTTTTGAACTGAAGAAAATGCTGAATGTTTTTTGTATTGATATGCATACTCGTTCTATGAATTTTCTATCTTTCTTTTGTTTTTTTTTTTTTTAAATGTTTTTGTTTCGTATTTGTGAGAGAATGTGGATTTTGTTTATGCATAAAATGGACTAACAACATAAACATACACAGAGTGTTCCGTTTAAACGCATAGGCACTACCATTAAGTCTAAAGAAGCGAAAGCACAAATGTTTTCGTATTCGTGTTTTTAATAAATAGGCGCACAGCACAAAAAATGAAGTAAAATCGAATGGAAATTTGAATGGAAAATAAACAAGAACGTAAAAGAAAGTAGCAAAAAAAATAAAATAAAAAGCTAAATCATCGAATATTCAATTTTAAAATGTTCAATAATAAATTCATGATTTGTTAGAGCAGCGACTCGCCTTCCCTAGACACATCCAATACATAATTATGCATACATACTATATACTCAGCATAACACATCGTACATACATATTACAGCGTCAACCGCACATTACAGGCGCGTACATAGTTGAGGCAATAGAAAAATAAATAATTTGTTTAGCTTAAACTAGACACATTTGATATTTGATATTTAATACTTAGATGTAGCCTTCTCATAATACAAAAAAAATTACATACAACATTTGTATAATAAAGGTAAGAAACGCATGCCATTGGCTCCTCCTCATATATGTATGTATGTATACAAGTATATGTAGTATGTGTGTGTGTGTGTGTGTGTGTACATTTGTATATGTTTATGATATGACAGCATTTATTGCTTTAATTTCTTTTACTAACTGACATTTCGTTAAATGGAATTCACGTTAAAGCTTTGTAAACTTGTTTCTTTCGCTTTCGTTTTCGTATCGTTTGTCTTACTTTTCTTTTTTTCTTTTCTTTTTGCTTTATATCGAGTTACAGTAAAAAGTAACTCACATTTCGATTATTACACTTCTTACTTCTTAAAGAACATGTTTCGTTTCCTCAATTACAATTCATACATCTTGCATAGCCTAATTACACATTAAACTAAAAGGCATTAAATGTTTAGAAATTGGATTGCTTTTTCGATTTGTTATTGTGCTGCACATTTATTGGCTTAGCTGTTTCTCGCGACTTATAAATTAGCAGAAATTAAAATTGCTTACAAAACAAATGTGGGGGGCGGCCATCATAAAAATTACAACTAAATGACAGACTATTTTCTAAAAAAATATAAAGTACTTTTCATCTTATTATTATTTATATGATTATTAATATTATTTTCTTTAAATGGAAGTTCTTTTTGTTTTTTCGAAATTGACATTAGCAATAGTTAGTTACACTTATTGTTCTTTTCTTTCGTTTCGTTTTTATTTTTGATTGTTGTTAATAAAGCGTTGTTATGTTGGTTGCTTTACACATTTTAATTAAAGTTTAGTAGTAAGTTAAACAAACCAAAAAAATTGTATAGGCGCGTTTGCAAGTAGCGATAAATTAAGTAAACGTAAGAGGTTATGAATATAATATATATGTATATATATGTATATATAAACATTAGATATACATGTAGTTTGTAAAGCAGTCTAAAAACGAGAAGACAACTTTCTAGGCCACTTCTATGTTTCGAGCTCTCTCTTTCTCTTTCTCTGTTTGTTTCTGTTTCTGTTTCTTTCTCTCTATCTCTTCCTCTCATTGCTTCAACGAAGAGTTGGCCGGCAGCGTTGCGGAGCGTTGGACATTGACCGCATAGGGTTTGTAGGCGGATCGAGTTGACTGGCTGCAGGCGTATTCGGATGTATATATGTATATATATACATATATGTATGTGTGTGTGTATATATATGTGGATGAATATGATTTATTGTTGACACCACATGATTATTGAGTATTAGCATGCGTTAATGATTAATAAATCGCATTACGATCGGAGCGGACGGTAGCGAGCGTGAACGAGAGCGCAATGGGGAAGAAACAAAGAGATAACAACAAATTAGCACAAACACAAAGAGACGAAAAAAAACACACATATGTATAGTAGTATATGGAAGGAAGAAGCCGGAGATAATATGTTTTGATTGCATGCTAGATGGCATCCTCGCTTTACCTAGGTGAGATTTTGCTGCCATCTGTGCTATTGTTGTTGGAGGAATTCGCCTTATATCCACTCTTTTGGATACGCTTCAATAGACGCGCCACCCACAGCGATTGCTCCTCCGGCGTGCTGGCGAGCAGCAGCATATCACGTGCGCTTCGCGGATCGTGATGCAGTTTGCAGGGCGCCAGCGGATCGTGCTTGTCCACATGCTCCTTGTGTATCTTATTGCGGCATCTGTGGGACGAGCACAAATAACATTAGTAGAAAAGTATGGTTCGGATTCAAATACACGTATATACATATATTGTTCCATTTACCTCTTGCATTCGTACGCCGCCGGCGGCTTAAACATGTGCCACAGCGGCTTCGGACACACCTCACAGGCCGTGGGCATATGGTAAGTAATGTGCACGAACTCGTGACCTATAAACACAAATACATAAACATTATTCGGAGGCAATGCTTAACGGGTTAGAAAACAATTGAATTTCAGGCATTTTCAGTTAACATCTAGATGCTTGTGTTCATTTTCAGATATGTCCTATAACGCAAACACAAAATAAAGGGGGACCTTTTAGAATCCGTTGCTTAGCTGCATTAAGATGAAGCTCTTTAAAACGAAATGCGTGACTAGTTTTGAATCAGATATTGTAGACCCTTTTCTAGCTCACACTTCCCAAATAAGGCCAATGGACCCAATAGTTTATAATTAGAGCTTGATATTGAATCAGTTAATTATCGTTATGTAAAGACCCTGATAATGCTACGAGCAAATTCAATTCGACCTTAACTTTTGTATTTTTCATATTCGCTTTATCATTAAATTGATCTTTTAATGTGCAAGGAATATAGGCGGAGGATCGGGTAAAAATGTGTGACATTTATGTCAATAACAATAATGTTATATTTTCAAGAAGTTTTCAGTTCTCTGAAGAATACATATATAACATTTTTGGGAACAATATCATGATGTGCTATTGCTTGTAAATTGAAATGTGACTGGATATTAATTAGATATTATTATAATTTGAATAGATTTCTCCTTCTTAGGCTTTTCTAGCTTATAAGATGCTTTTTATAATTTTTATATATTTTCCTCCTATGTCGACAGTCAATGTTTGTTGACATAAATAAATAAATTAATTTAAAATGAATAAATAAAAAGCATACCCTTGTGTATGATGGTGCCTGGTCGCTCCTCATTGCTGCTGCCGTGCAGGACGCTTACATCCAATTGACTTTGCTCATCGGGACGATGTGAGGCGCCTTCACCGGCATAGAGCAGCTGAAAGATGCGCGGTATCTCTTTGGCATCGGCACGTATGACATCGCCTTGTGTGACCGACCGCACATGATAGACTTTGCTGTTGGGAGAACGGTGGCATCAGTTTGGATGACGGCGAAATGTTGTGGGGGAATACTCACCTCAGATCCAGTATAAGAACCGCATCGGTTGTGTTGTGCTTGTCGATGTCCGAGTTGTAGAAAATGATTTTGCGAGATGAGACAATCACGTATTGGCGCTTCCAGCCATGGCCGCGACGACGATTCTGTTTATTTGGCACGCTCAGCCAGCCCTCAAAGACCGAGTCCTGTGTGAGTGAGAGCAGAGATGAGTGCTAATGGTGTGAGAGCGACGTATTCGAAGTGACAATCACGAAATGGGAAAGAAGAGCAGAGCAAAGGAAGAAGAGCAAGATTCTTGTGTTATGTGTGTTCGTGTTGGTGGATATTGATGGTGTATGTTTGTATTTGTGTGTGTGTGTAGGTGTCTTAATGCAAACTCTCCGCAACGATTGTTCATGTTTATTTTTGTTGTTACCTGACTATCCTCCGGATCATTGTCCGCCGACGAAAGGGAGGCCGTCTCATTCAACTTCGACTGCAAATGCTCGATTTCAGTGGCCTTGCAATCAATCTCCATGATCATCTTGTGCTTCAACTGCTGCTCCTCTGCGGTTTGTTGTTGGAGGTCCTGATGCTTAAGTAACAGCTGATTGTATTTGTCCCGCTCTTGCGAGAGCTCCTGCTGTAAACGACGCATCTCCTTCTCCTTTTTGCGCAGTTCGGCAGTTGAGCGCGCCTTGCTCTTTTGCTCTGTGATGTAAAAAGATGCGATCAATCATATGTTATAATAATACTTTGTTCTTTTAGCAGACTTTAAACTAAAGTCTGAAGTTTTTGCTTGGCTTGAGACGTGATTCAAATCCGAAATTACAAGTTATCTGTCTCTTTTGTAACAAAAATCAATCAATCAATCAATTAATCAATCATAATCATATAGGGCTCAACTTTGTTGAGAACTTAAATCTTCGTCTCAGGCTGATAGAATAGACTTCTTTGTTCTTTTAGCAGACTTTAAACTAAAGTCTGAAGTTTTTGCTTGGCTTGAGACGTGGTTCAAATGCGAAATTACAAGTTATCTGTCTCTTTTGTAACAAACATTAATCAATCAATCAATTAATCAATCATAACACGCTGTCTAGAGCCGAATATAGTGCTCAACTTTGTTTAAAGCTTAAATCTTCGTCTCAGACTGATAGAATAGACCTCTTGTGGTCATAATTTCTTCTTCTAAGTGTTACAAACTTACACACCAGAAACAATAGACCCTGTCATCTTTCAGTTATGGGTATATGAAGAACTAAACTGAATGGAAGCAAGAAGTATATATGCTTACTTTGCAAATCGGAATCGCGCCTGTTCATGACCTCTGCCAGTTTGTTGACAGCCACCTGCTTTAGCAGCATCTCGTTCTTGCACTTATCCTGAAGCTTAACGATTTCCTCGTCCTTGGCAATGCGCGACTGCAACATCTCATCCTGCTGCTTCTTGTGCTGTTGGATCAGGTCCTCCAATTCCTTGGCCTTGAGGCTGAGCTTCTTGTGGACTTCTGCTTCACTCTCCTTGACCGTGGCCAATGCGGCCTCCTTGGCATTAATCTCATTGCGATGCTTCATTTTGAAGTCCTTCAGCTCAAGCTCCTTGATGGTCTTCTCCTTCTCTAAATCAGCCACTGTCTCCTCGGCAATGGATCGAGCGAGTGCCTCGGAATCGGCACGCGCCACTGCCACCTGTACTTGGTGCTTCAACGAAACGCGTTCCTCCTCAAGATCTTCAATCTTGGACAGACGTTCGGCACTCTCCTCGCGATTCTCGTTGGCCTGAGTTTTATACAGTCGTGAGAAGCATTGTTCCGCCTCAAGTTGCGCCTGCAGTTCACGATTATTTGCCAACGCCTCATGATGTGTGCTCTTTAGTTGCGTGAGATCCTCCTCAAAGCGACGCTTGGCCTCACGTTGCACTCCCAGTTCCTTCTGAAGCTGATTCTCGCGCGAGCGCAAATGCGCCACTTCGGAGCTGTGCAAACTCAGCTCAGAGAGCAGCGAGTTGCGTTTACTGTGCTCCTGCTCCAGCTGGGATTGAAGGGCGGCCACCTTCTCGGATTCCTGCCGATATTCTCCCTCTAGTTTTTGCAAACGCAGTTGGATCTGACGATAGTCTACGGACAGCATGTTAAGTTGGCGTTCTTTCTCCTGCGAATTCTGATCGGCCTTAAAGCGGGCCGACTTTTCTTCGTTGAGCTTTGACTGCAGCGCCTTCACCTCCTGCAGATTGGCCTCCTCACGCGATACCAAGCGCGACTTTTCGGTCTCCTGATGAGCCTTCACCTCCTGCTGATAGCGACCCTGCGCCGCCTTTAGCTCAAAGTCTAGGCTCGCGTTCGTCTTCTCCAACTCGCTTATTTTCTCGAGCAGCACACGATTATCCTCTTGTGCCTTCTGTTCACGTTGGAGCGTGCGCTCAATGTCATTGGAGAGCGTTTGCATTTTGTTCTCGGCCTCCTTGTGCAACTCCTTCAATTGCGATCGCATGTTCTTCTCCTGCACGACTTGCGCCTGTAGCTCCGCGTTCTCCTGGCCCAGCTCCTCTTTGTGCTTCTGCAGGGTGTCGATAATGTCAACCATGTCGCTCACCTTCTCCTCGTGCGTCTTAAGCGTGAAGCCGAGCTCTGCGTTTTGCTTCTTCAGCTTTTGTGTGTGCTCCGTTTCGTTTTTGAAATTCTCCTCCATCTCTGCCAGTTGTTTCTCCAGCAAGGTCACCTTCTCATTGATGTTTATCTCGCGAGTGCGTGTCTTCTGCTCATTCTCTAAGTTACGCTGGGTCTCAACGAGCAGCGCCTCTGTCTTCTTGCGTAACTCAATCTCCTGCTCCACCTTCTGCATGGCCACTTTATAGTTATGCTGGCGTAGTGCCAGATCCTTCTCGTATTCGGTCGCAATTCGTTGCAACTCCGCCTCGCGCTTTGTACTCAGCTCGATTTGCTGTCGCAGGTTGGTGTCCTGCTTTTCTAACGCTTCGGCGCGACTTCGTTCGCGTTCCAACAGCGCCTCCAAACGCTTTAGCTCATTGGAATTGGACGGCCTGTGCCTGTGATTGTGGCCATGATTGTTGCTCGCATTAGCAGCATTTGAGGCCGACTCTTTTGCTTCCGCATCCACAGTGTCGCTGGATAGGAGCTGATAGTCGCCCGTATAAGTGAAGCCAATGAAGGGCAAGTGATTGCCATCGAAGGTTTTTGGCACTGGGAACATCTCCTCCGGTTTCTCATCGCGTTCGATATCCTCGAAGTTGCGTGTATCATCATCCGACGAGAGCTCTGGTACCACCGGTGGCACACTTTCGCGTATATTATCAAAGGACCACAGATCGTTGCGGAAGAACGGGTGCGCCTTTATCTCATCGATTCCGTAGCGTCCTAGGCGCTGTGTGCGATCTGTTAGAAAGGCGCGAATCAGCGCCTTTGCATTCTCGCTAATTTCCACTTCCGCCGGAAAGCTCAGCGAGTTCTTGTGATCCATAATCTTGCCATATGTGCCAACCAGTGAGTCGGCATAAAAGGGTGTCTCACTAAAGAGCATTTCGTACAGAAATATGCCCACAGACCACCAATCACATTCGCGCCCGTACTCATTATCCACACCCTGCGACTGCAGCACCTCAGGACTAATGTAGTCGGGTGTGCCGACCGCATTGCTGGACACCACCTGGCCGTTTGCGCCCATACGCATACAGGTTCCGAAATCAGCAAGCTTCAGATGGCCGTAGCGGTCCAGGAGCATGTTGTCCGGCTTCACGTCGCGGTGCACAAAGCCCATATTGTGTATGGTGTCTAGAGCCAACACCACCTCCATCGTATAGAATATGGCCCACTTCTCGGGTATCTCGTAGTCACTCATGAGCGATACAATGTCGCCGCCGGGCATAAAGTCCATCACCATGTAGAGGTATTTTGTGTCCTGGAAGGCAAAGTGCAGCTGGACAATCCACTCGGAATTGGCATGCGCCATTATGTGACGTTCTTCCCAGAAGAATGCAGAGTCCGGTCGCTTCATCATCTCGAATTTGGACAGCCGCTTCATGGCGTACACCTGACTGGACGATTTGTGTCGCACCAGCTGTACTTCGCCAAAGGCGCCGGCGCCAATTAACTTGATGAAATCAAAGTCCTCCACATTCATTCGCAGCTGATTGATGCGTTGGGCCACCGGCTTATCTGTTGAGAAAGTGGCACGCGCATATAATAGTGAATAATTAGATACATCATATTTACTTGGCTACTTACATTTTGATGCATATTGTTCGATGTTTTTAAGGCGCTTCAGCGACTCGTGATCGCAGTCGCTAACGAGTGCCGATACCGTATCCAGCAGGCAGTCCACATTGCATATGCTGTAGGGATCACGCATATTCTGCTCGAGCGTCGTCGCTCTGTACAATATGTAGATGGGAAAGGTTTACCAATTGTACTAAATATTTATTCAGTTCAGGTGATGATATATCCCGTGTATGATAACGAGCAAAATGATAAATGGCTCAGCAACTGCCCCACAAATCAGATCAACTGAATATCAGTACAAAAACAAGCTGACAACTTTTTATTTGGGGGGTCGCTTAGCTCTACTAAATTGAAAAGCAATAGTCAGGTATATAAAGTATAGTTACATATCTATAATTGTTTAACTTTAGGCTAACCAAGCTAGTAAGTAACCCATGTATTGGTGATCCCTAGCTTTACACGTGTTTTATTGCCGAGCTTGGCTCGATTTCAATTTATTTGTAAATCAAATGAAATGCAGTTATTTTATTATTATTAATATGCCTATTTATTAACAACACAGAACATTTTTCTCTAAAGTTGATGTGAAAAATGTCGGTTCTAAGCAGATACACAAAAACTATATTTTGGAATGGCATTGTAGTGACGTCAAAGACCCAAGCATTATTAAAGACAAAACAAAAGCACATTTAAAAAAAGGAACGTCATTTCCTCTTATTAGTATGTGGGGGGATCCATAATTTGAAGAGCCAGAGCGCGTTTCTTAAAAACAAATACGCAGTATTATTCACTGGCCATTACGCATGCATATACTTGTATATGTACGTATGTGAACTGTAATATCATTTCCATTTAAACAGTTAATTTTCGAATGACTCAGGATGTAGGTAGGCCAAGAATTAGTTTCCAAACTGACTAGACTAACTGGCAACCAATCGTTTGGAATGCGGCTATCACACATTTGTGTTTAATGAGTCAACTATCCCCATCTAGGTACCTAGGTACAAAGAAATCATAAAGTCTGACAAAGAGAAAATAAACGTGCGATCCAAACAATACGCAGTGCAGATTGCCTAAAAAGTATGTGCATTATTATAGTCTGAGAGAAACATTCGATTCGATTTCTTCGAAATAAATAAAATAATTATAAATGTGTTATTATTATAGACCATGGATATTACACTAAATAGGTACAAGTTGGAGCTATTTTATAGAGCTGAAGATTTGCGTCATATGTGCCTGCAAAATAAGTGTTTTAAATGATGCTCGAACTACACTTTTGCGTAATCTAATCTTTTGAGAATCTAATTAATTGTTTCAATTAATAATACTGCACCGACCGGCTTGCCTTAATTGGCTTGGAGAATCTATATTTAGTTAATTAAGCTATCAATCCAAAGGCAAACAAATCGTATATATACTTACATACATACGTATGTATGTAGCTATAAACATACATACATACATATGTATGTATGTACGAGTGCATGTTCATAGTTTCAATACAAAATTGGGTCGTCCAATTCATAATCTGGCTTCGAAAATTAATGGCAAATAAAGCGTGATAGACCAGCCAGACCAGGCAATTCAAGCAACAATAATCACACCTTTGGCCATCATCATAAAAAAGTTAGCCACATGTATGTAGACAGAAGAAGCACCGAGCAGAGACAACAAAACAAAACAACGATAACAACACAGTAAAGCAGCAACCATAACCACAACATTATCAACTGCATTGGCACAATTCTTGTATCTCAGAACATTGTGGTTGTTTCTTCTCTCTGCTTCTTTTTAATATGCATTTTGCACAAACACATGCACACACACACACATCGTATGTTTTCTGTGCGTTGTTTAAGCGAAAGAGATAGAGAGAGTCTAGAGAGAGGGAGTGAGAGAGAGCGAAATACTGTAAGCGCAACGGAGTTTGCGAATGAGGGGGCCGAGAGCCTTGACTTTTTATCGCAACTCTCTGTTGACTTTTTGATAAAATGACAGTAGCCGCCACACGCTCGCATTCAAATATATATATATATATATATATATATTATATGTACATATGTACGAGTACATACTATACATGCACACATGCATATACATGTGTGCATTACCGTATTTTCTAATAAAGGCCTTCGCTTCGTTGTTAGTTCAATTGCATATCTTCGAAATTGGCAAAACAGGTCTTTATTTACCCGATATTTTTGTGCTACTTATGTACATACTTGCATACATATTTTATTTATGTATATCTGATGAATATATACATTTCTATCAAATCCACATTTAAGCCGAAAGAACCGAAGTCAACATTTAATGCTTTCATAGGGATTTATAATATTTTAAAACGAATTTAAAGACCACCTTCCTATGAAACTATTCGACAATATTTTTAGAGTCAGAAATTCAATTATGTACTCTATTATTTGCTGTGCAAATATGTTTTTATGTAAAATCCCAAGGGAGACCTCGTCCGGTAATGTTCCAAACAGTTGAAAACAAAAAAAAAAATTGAATTAAGTACATATGCACAAAAATAACAGTCAAACTGATATGAAAAGACGTCGAATGGTATGCACCCTAGGTTTCAGAAAAATATGGTTGATTTGGAGCTCTCTAAGCTAAACATGTTGATGCCAAAAGTTGGGCCAGTTGAGTGAGGAATTGTTGAAGTAAAACTTCAATAACTCTCGAATGTGTATACACGTATGTACCTTTGATAAAATCACAAATGAGACCACAAGAGATTTTTTTTACAACCACATCAAAATTTAATAGAAATTTTGTTGATGTGTACACTCGTCGTTGGTATTGAAAAATAATAACAATAATCAGAACAACCAATGGCTTTTAGTTCTGCTCTCTCGCGACTCTCTTTTAAAACTACGGCCTTTGGGTTCTTGTGAATGAACTTCGAATGTTTGTTTAATGCTCATGTTTAAGCTCAGCCCCTCTGTCGGAAGTCTTTGCAGCTGCTTTCATTGAAAAATGAAGTAGAAGCACAATAATTGACAAGGTTGTCCGCACAGACCAAATAAAAAACTGCATCGAACCACTGACTGAACTAGCCGGGTGAATACCAGTCCGATTGACCGACTCTCTGTTATATATACATAGTAGTTTATGGCACAAAAATATTATGTTTTTTCGGTTAAATGAGCTTCCATTGACCTTACAACAAATTTCACAAGCAATCCTGTAGAGATCGGAATTTAAAAGTTTTCGTTTGATTTTTTTCTAAACTCTTATTTCTTGTTTACTAACCAACTGTATCTATTTCTATAACTTTCTTCCTGGATAATTTTCTAATGACTTTTCATATAGACAGCGGAAGTACAAGTTGAATACAAAACTTCCATTCTACGAGTATGTATCTAAATAGCGAGTTAGGAGAAATTCGCGAAGGAGGAGTTCGATATAGAGTTGTATAAAAATCTTCTAATAATAAAGATTTAAAAAAAAATTGAAATGCATACTAGAAAGTCTAAACGTCAAATGTGTTGCATATATACATATATTATAATGCTTCACCTCTGATTTGATAACAAATTCGAAACTATATCATACAATTATATGTAAGAGTGAATGGTACAATAAAGTCTATATAAATTAAATTAAAAATATATAATAAAAAAATATAAGATTAAATAAAAAAAGATAAATGTGAGATCTTTTGGAAATTTAAAATGTTGTCAACAAATTTATATCTTTATAATTAAGAGTTATAAGTATCCTAAAGAAATGGAAAGGGCTCAATAAATATACACTTTCAATTTTTGAAAACTTAGAAAATGTCTAACTTCATAATGAAAGAAAAACTTTATTAAACTGTTAAGGAAATCCAGTTAATATTCCTGAAGTGGCAAAATATTGAGTGGTCTGTCACGTACATATGTATATGTATATATTAATATATATTTCGTATGTATGCATGTACTTATATACTTATGCATTTATTTATTGTTTATTATGGAGGCTACAAATTAGAGCCGCGTAACTAGGCATAACAAATGGCAGGCGATAAAGTGCTGACACACTGACAGAGGAGAAGCGACAGACAGGGGGCAGAGGAGTGACAAAAGACCAGGCGACGAGAAGTTGGCAGTCGACAGCGAAAAATTGATACTAAGGTGTTTGAATTGTTGTGATTTCATCATTGCCACATACGGCATGACAAAACTGACAATTGAAAAATGAAAAAAGCCAAAGAACAGCAATAATAGAAGCAGCAACAACAACAACTGACACAAACGAACGAACTTGAAAAAGTGGAATTTTTAAAATTCGGTGATATTTTTGTTGTTGTCGAAACTGCAATAAGTTCGCAGCAGCAACAACATAATTATATGAACAACCTACAGTCGAAATAGAAACATACTTAAATAATATTCAATCGTGTCTCAGTAAAAATCAAATTTACATTTTTTAATGATATTCCTATCCTTGTCGATGTTTGATTAAAGAAGAACAGATGTCGATGTACATTTCAAGTTACTATAATTTAAATTCATTAGAGATGTACTTAGTTATTCATACATAAGTTCATACCTACAAAGACAATATAATGAATCGTCGCACATAGAAGTATTTTAAAAAAGAGGAAGCTCTAAACGGATGGTCTGTACTGTGTTGTAACACTTAGCTACCGACAAGTAACATAGATCCTGACAGCCAAGCGGTGCTTAAGGCACTTGATGCCAACTGTAGAGTCATTACTGACACCCGCAATTACCTTAACGAGCTAGCCCAGCAGGTCAGTGACAATCGGAAAATTGAGGGGAACTGCATTTGCAGACAAGCTGGCCATTCCTCCCTCCAAGGAAGAAATCGGTAAGCCACTAATCTCACACAGAGCCAGCCCCGCTGGGAGAACACAAATTTGTGTGTTCTAGTAAGACTCAGGCTGACTGCTTTTGGGCAGCCCTTCCCAAATGATCTCATAGACATAATAATAATAATGGAGATTATGGAGGTATACACCTAATTCTGTTTTTACACATGTAAAACCGTGTAAAGAAGTCATTGACCATATGTTATTTTAAATCGTGCTAAATGGAATAATGTCGTGTAACTATATATAAAAAGTTTAATTTTCGAACCGTGTAAAAACAGAATTAGGTGTATATTCATTAACAATACCGGATGGTTGAAAGTGATATCACAATGGGCACTTTTTGGGCCTTAGTGCCGGAATGTGAACCATCGTTCCAGCAATCTCAACCTAAACCAAACTAACATAGAAGAGCAAACAGTTGTTCATTAACTGTAAAGTTATTTCTTGTGGCAAATAAATCACATATTCTACAGACTATGATAAAATGCAGGTACATATGGTACATTTATACTTAGTCTTTAGGCATTGCAAACATACTTGTATATGAATCAGATCCATTATTGAACGATAGTCTACAAATTTATCAAAAGTTGATATAATCTGATAAAAAGATGACCTACTCTTTGTCATAGTGCTTAAAAAAAGTGAGATCTCAAATCCCCTTCTTGGTGTGAAAGCATTAAAAAAAAGGAAGCCCTTTAAATACTCTGTTGAGAAATGCGATTTGTGCACATATTTTATTTTAGCAATACTTAGAACCAGGTCTTTAGAAAAGACCACCAAGAAAGTACTCTTACAATTTTACATGAACTTTGAAAATAAGTTAAACCGACCATCCAATTATTAATTAGTTATTAAAGTCAAATGCTATGAAGTGCAACTGAATGTTTATTTTCGCACCAACAAGTTTTCCTCCTATATACCCAATGTTTTGGAAAATAAGTGCATAATAAATTGCAAAAAAAAAAAAAAAAAAAACACGACACGACTATAGTACATATTCGTATGTAAATTGTTTCTCGTACACACTCGCACATGCACAGAGATGGCGGAGGCAATTAAAATGTGCCACAATAAAAATAGGTAATAAAATTTGAGAATTTTGAATTTTCAATCTTTGCTGGCTGCATTGTTGAGATGATGATCGCGATGGCGATCAAGATAAAGATGATGGCGAAGATCGCGAAAGGGATGAGGGGGGAAACGCGTACCGTTCCTGCTCAGTAAAGTGGCTGGCATCCATCGACGCACGCTGTGTGTTGGCCGCCGGAAGACGTACGGTGAATGGAATGGAATGGGACAGGACGGGATGGGGGTGAGGCGGTACCTATTGCCGCGCCATCATGGCGCCGACGACGCCAACACCAAATCAATTAGCAATTTGGTATGCACATTTAAAAGCATTTATTAGAGATGTTTTTTTCTATTATTATTATTATTAAAATTGTGTATTGTTGCTTTTGTTGTTTGTATATCTTGCAAATCGTTTGTAACAATTGCCGTTGCTGAAACGCGTTTCACGCATGCGATGCGCTCGCTGCGAACTGAAAATGCTTCGGCCTGCCTTGGAGCGTTTTGGGGCCTAAGTTTTTGGCATTGCGAACAAAAAAACAAAAACAAACATACATTAAATGAAATGCGAATGTGACGACTTGGATTTGAACGACCAAGTGAATTGGTTACAAATTTTAATGCGAAAATGGCAAATTTATTAAAAGTCGCCCGCCGGACGGTCAAGCGTTCAGCAGTCAACAGCCAGCCAGCCAGCATTTTGCTCACTCGCTTGTCAATTTGATTGCCGCACTGCTGATGTCGATGCCGCTGCTGTTGCTGCCGCAATCGCTTTGAAAAATTATTATGGAAGGTGTTTGGCACTGATGTTTTTGCTAAATTTGTTGAAGCTACAATATATGTATATACATTGTAGTAGACGACAGGCATTCCATGCTAGTGATGAAACCATCATAAGCTCAAAGCCTCCTTAAGGCACTCCCAACGATGCATCGATCCGTGAAGTTGCAAATTTGTAAACTCTGTTTGGATGGATTACAGAAACAGTGCGAACGCCTAGAATCAACGGCAACATTTCTCAGAAATCAGAAATCATCAATTGTACTCAGGGATAATTAGGTGAAATTTCCGTCTAAATGTTGTCCTAGAATTCAGTGTTTGAATACTGATTTTCGTGAAAACTTTTGTTCTCATAGAACATTATAGAAAACAGTCTCTTTATAATCAATTGTTATTATTATTATGATTTTGGGTTATTGGAACTATATTAAAAAGTGCATATATGTACATATGTCTGCAATCTTGGTTGGGACGACACAGTTATGGTATATACTAAATAGAGCACGATATTTTGCTCAGAAATACATAGATCAGATGTGGTGGTACCTCTAGTAACAACTTAAATTAATACTGAGATTCGTAATGTGACAAATTGTGGGTTTTTTATGCAATTCTTTTAAAAACTTTTAATACGCCTTCGTCACTAGGGATATTGTTTTTAGAAACAGAAGAGAATGACATGCGTATGAGCGTGAATGTGTGTGTATGTGCTTGTTCGTTTGTCTAACAAATCTTTTCAAATTTTTGTTTTCTGTTTGCTTTTGAGGTGACAATTAATTGAGCGCGCGCGGTTCTAAGGCGAAATGAGTTTCATGCGCCTTTTCCAAAATGGCCCGTTGACAGGTGAACGCTTGTGTGATTGTTTGTTGAACGCACAGCGCCACAGGTGGTTTGCTGCCCGATTGCCGCCTGGCTAGCTATGTAACTATGTTTTTGTTATTGTTAATGTTGTTGCTTTTTAATTCAGGCGTTGATTGAGGCTTCAGCTTATGAGTTAATTAAGCACGCATTTGCGCGACCGCCTATCTGATATCTAAATGTTGGAATGATAGGTCGTGGGCAGATAGACGGTTGAAGCTAAAGGAGAGCAAGACACTCACCGACGCCGCCTCTCCACATCCATGGCTAGCTGCTAATCCTAAACGATTATGGCCAAAAGCTGCAGCATGCAGCTGCTAAATATTCCTTGCGATGTGTGCCTTTGGAAGCAAAATGGTGATACTGCAAGATAATGAAATATACATAATGATTAATACATACATATACTTATTAAACATATATTATGTTAATGCATTTGTGTATCCATTTACCTGCTGGTCGTGTTTCCTTAGCTGCCGGCTTCAGCTGCAACGATAAATGATTGAATGCAATTAGTCGAACAATCATATTATAAGCATCAGAACAAGTTTAAGTAAGCAAGGCAACGAGTTGTGCCAAATTGAGAAATTATTTAATTAAGAGTTTATTTATTTGTGCGTTAATTTTCGCTTACCTGCAAAGTCAGCTAAATAAACACCAAGAACAGTAGCGGTAGCGGCAGCTCACTTACAAAAACGGCTGCGAACTAATCAAAATCAAAGCAATTGCAGCAATCGTTCGGAAGACGACTGCTCATGCGGCTGTGAGTTCAGGAAGCGCCGTTTCAGTAGCTAGGCGCTCTGATGGCCTGTGGCCAGAACACAGTCGATTTGTTAGATCTCCCTGTCCGCAGTGAATGAGAAGCTATGGCTGTGGCTTTTTGCGCAAACGCTCTTTGCACTACTCCACCTCCACCGCACTTATACAAATGCGCTCAGTGCGCACACACACACGCACACACACGTATGTATATATACTCAAATGCGCGATACTCCACTACACACCGCAAGCGCCACGCGCCCGCTCTGTTGTTGTTGCTGCCGATGATGAGGTCACGAGCGTCGTTGCGTCCGTAGTTGTTGCTGCTGCGGCTTTTGCAGCTTGTTATTGTAGTTGTTGCCTATCTGTGGCTTGTGTCAACAACCACTTGAGGATTTCTTAGCACTTTGCCAATTTGCCTCTGTATTTAGATTGCCGAAGTGGGCGTACTTGCCACCTGGTCGTCGGTCGTATCGGCAACGTCACATACGGCTACGGCGGGCATCAAAGCCGCGGCGCACTAGCACCTCTACCACCTTCTAGGTTGCCGCGGCTGCTGCTGTCTCCGTCTTCTTAGTCTTAGCCAATATCGCTACTCACTGTGTGTGTTGGTTCGTTTGGATGTTATATTTTAGGGTTTTTGGTACTAAAGCACTCGCAATCGCACACTCACTCACCACTCCAACAATTTTGTATGTTTATAGACAGCATAAACGCGCGTTTTTCTCAGTTTGTAAATCTGTACAATCAAAACTTGCACTTTTGTCTGGACAGCTAGGAAATGCTTTTTTTATTGTTAAAAATTTGTTGTAATTTTGCGCTGCTCTTCAACACTCACACACACATACACTTGCTTTCGTCGGACGCTTGCGTAGCAATGGTACAACAACAATAACAACCGCTCACACGTTCACGCTGCCGACGTGCGTCACTCACGGGGGCGCCAAAGGCGTTTGCGGCAGCCCAATATAGATCTATTCAGCTAAGCGGTAACCAAATCAATCAATTACAGAATTACTTTTAATTAAATGCTGCGCGTTGCACTTCTTCAATGTTGGCTGCGACAGTTGCGCGCAGTAGGGATGTAAAATGTACATCGGTGTATCGAACATATCGATTTTCGCTTTCGATGTAGCGATACTTTTTAGCACTTAATATTAATCGATACATCAACGTGTCTACTTGCAACATTTCTGTGGAATCATTAAGGTCTAGTAACCGCAACCGATCTGAAAATTTGTATTTATTGCTTAAAATGAGTTTAGTTTGAAATTATTTACCATGTACATATGTAACAGACAGAAGGAGGCATGTTCGACTTTGTTAACTTTAAACATACATATGTACGTATGTATGTACATACATACATATGTATATTCTAAATTAGAATGAAAAGTCGGGTCGATCTAGACAGTCTGTCCGTCCGCCTGGATGAACACTTGGTTTTCAGAAGTGGTTAAGTCCACCCTGTTCAATATTTGGTATGTAGACAGTCCTGGGTCCAAGGCAACACATGCTATTCGATTTTTTGAAATTTTATAAAAAAACAAGCTTTATCCGGTTTTTCTTTTAAAATTAGTAATTGGAATAATTTCTGGAATGCGCTTACACTGTCGCTAACACAAATCAAGTTTTATTCATATTTCTCTTGTTATATTATTCCGATAAATGGTTTTCTTTATTGCTTATAAATATTTAAATTTATATATTATTATTGATAGAGAATAAAATGAATGCAAGAATGAAGAAACATAAATTTTTCAGTTGAACAAAATGAAATCCTTCGAACTAAAATTGAAATATCGAAATGAATTGCAATGAGATTATTAGAATAAATAAGACTTTAGATAAGACATTATTAGAAAGGGATACTTACTTCTTATACTAATACTATATGTATGTATATACTTACTTTCTAAATACATACATTTGCTTTGTTGTTGCAAAATAAAATTTATAACAAAAATATACATACAAATAATTTAAAAATTACTGCATGAAAGCTTATTTTCATTCCGTAATGACAAACAAAACAAACAGCAGCAACATATAAACGGAACAGTTTTAGAGGGAGAGTTTCACGAGAAAGCGCCTTTAACATCAACAAATTCTACACTATTTTTATTGTTTGGCCGGCTCGAGGTCAGAGTAAGAAAAACCAATTTATTTAATTTTCTTTTCTTTTTCCGATATATTTCGGTTACGCCACGGTAACCGTCTTCAGGGCAATTATTTAAGCAAGTCTGCTCTGTTTGACTTGGAGTTACTAACTGCTAACGAGAATTTGAAGAAACGGCAGTAGCGATGGCAGTTTCAATAATATACTTAAGTATATTCAAACAGATAATCCAGCTGGCGCATTTTTTTGTTATATTTTTAAATACAACATACTTGTACGACTGTGGTGAACCTCCTGAAATAAAAGAAATTAGCTTTATGAAGGGGCGGTTTGGTTTCCAAATAAATTACCATGTGATTTATTTAATTAACAAATGCAAAATGTCTATGTATTTTTCCTTTCATTTTTAATTATCATACCGCATATATTTAATTATTTACATTATAATTAAATTAATTTTGCCAACTGTGTGTGTGTATTTTTGTTGTTTGTTTCATTTTAAGAGCTTACAAAAAAAAATCAAGTTACAAATTATAAGTATATATATATATATAAAAAAACACGCATATTAATATAAACGTAAAGTTTCTGCTTCTTCTTTTTCATCATCGTTTACACGTTGGTTTACTAAGCTATAGTGTTGTTGATTTAGTTTACACTGTTTCATTGTTGTTTGCTTTTTTTTCTTCGTTTACTTGTATCTGTTATGCTCTCTATGCCGAAATTATTTAAAAAATCAATAACAAAACTGAGACAAAACTAATAAAACATATATACATATGTGTATATGTATATATATGCGTCCATCGGTTTATTTCATCCAGTTGCGCAGCGGATACCTCAAAGGGCTGCTTGATGTTTTCATTTACTGTTCAGTACCCCTTCGTTTTCGCTTGCCATTTCGTTTGCCCTCGGCCGTCAGCTGACCGAGACCGGCGGTGGCAGCAGTTGCAACAGTGGCGGGTGGTCGTGCAGCGGGTGGTTCTACCGCGGCGGTAAGCGTCGAGTGGGGGCGCGTATTTTGCGCCGGGCCGCCAGTGCGTTCTGTGCAGCATTGCCTGCTGGTGGATTGAACCTGTGGAAGGCAAATGAAATCATTTAGTGATCGGATCGGATATAGTGGCGACAAGCAGCTGCTGCGTCGTGAGCGATATATAGAGTAAATTGCTGATAATTATCTGGAAACAGATGCTACCACTGTAATACGGTGACTATCGGCCAGCCAGACAAAGTGCATCATGTATTTATAATCAAAAATATACCCTGGCCCTTATAAGCTGATTATTAACGGTATACCAATATTCGAATCAATCGACAACTGGCGGACACACTTATTCATGAACATTTGACGAAACTGATTGATTTCGCATAAAGTTTATATCTGATATACAATTGGTCTCTATACTGTATGTATATACATACATATGTGGATATTGGAACTTGTATAATATACAACATTCATTAAAGCTCTCCCTCATTTGTCCCACCTTAATCGCTTGACTCTGGACAGCAGATGTAAATATTTAATTTACTTACGCAAATATGTTGGAAGGTGTAGAAAATCCAGCATTAAATTGAAAGGGTTCTGCGTTTGGTGTTGTCTGGAAAATACATGTTTTGTATGGGTAATTGTTTGTATATAATTGTGTTTCTTTAATTATGTGACTATATATGTGTGTATATTTATTCTAATAAAATGTTTAATGTCTACATTGAAAAAGAATGTGCGAATGTGTTAGTAGAGTGCTTTCTCTAATTTAGTATACGTACGTATCTCTTAAATGCACAGCATATATCTATTTTATTAGCGTGCAAAATCAGTCAGGTTTGCACACCCATGCGTCAGTACACTGATAAAAATTAAAATTAAAAAGAAGAGAGTACGCTACAGTCGAGCTAGCCCGACAGTAAAATAGCCTGCACTCTCCACAAAAAAGAAAAATTAAAAAAAAATTAAATGATTTAAAAAAAAATTAATTAGTTAATTAAATTAAATTCTGTTCAGTTTTAACAGCATACATCACGTGCCTATGCGTGTTTATATGCGTGTATGTATGCAGCACAAAGTTGAACCAAAGCAGCAGCAACAACAACAGCTGCGGGCAGCGCTGCAAGCAGAGCATGGGCAGCGATTTTATTTATGGCTATAACTTTCTTCATAATTGATCTCCCAAGATGACACTTGGCGTACGGACAAATAGCCACGAACTGGATGTATATTTGAGTTCAAAATTCCAAGAATTATCGGAGGTAGGAAAAACACGTATTGCGGGGGAGTGGGGGGTGTATCAGAAAAAAAACACATACTCGATCTGCATGGGATTTGGGGAACCTGAATGCCAAGTTTGGTTATCCTAGCTATTGTACTTGCTGAGATCGTTGCGCTCATACAGACAGACGGACGGACAGACGGACAGCTATATCGACTTGTCATCCTGATCAATAATATCTATACTTTGTGGGGTCTGCCACGCCTCCTTCTGTGTGTTACATACATTCGCACAAAACTAATATAGCCTTTTACCCTTTGGGTACAGGCTATAAAAGAACACCACTCATTAGTTAAGTTGTGGGAAAATGTTCAACTAAAATAACAAAATATTTAATACAACTTTTAAAAAAGATAACACAATGGGCGTATTTACCAGGCACACTTTGATCATTACCATGAAAATATGAATATATTCCAGGTACTGGTAAGTGATCAAAATTTTCTGGCGAATGCGTGTCCACCCCAAAAAATTGCACAATGCTGTAAAGTGAAGTATGCATGCAGTTATCAGAGCAGCGATATTTTGATGAGTGATGAAAAATACATTTAAAATGTTAGCAGAATCATATAGAGTGCGAAAGAAGGCTTATGGATAATAATTAAACTATAGTTAGTTGGTGGCAACAATATTCAATTATATTATATACATTCAAAAATATGAAGAGTTATTTAGTTTGATTTCGATGTTGGTATATGTACTATATAGGTGGTGTTGGGTGCTTTTGATGGCTGTCGATCTGCTTCTTCCGATGTTACCTGCATTTGCGGCGTCGCCGTAGCGGTAAAATTGAACAATTGGCTCCCTGGCGTTGCAGCAACTGTAGGGCCAGAAGCGGCGGCGACGTTAGGGGCGGCGGTGGCTGTGGCGCCAAATTGGAAGAGCTGCTGAGCTGGAGGTGCGGCAAATGCCTGCGCATCACACACGAACCGTTGAAGAGTTGGATTGGAGTGGAGTAGCGTACATCAAGTACATAAAATACAGGTACATTGTTCACAAAAATCACATCAATCATAACGACAATAACAAGAGCAAGCACCAAGCCAAAGTGCACGACATATTTTGTTTTTGATTTGAGGTTTAGTTGTTGTATAGCAAAAGAAAAACGAAAAAATAAAATAAGAGAGAGAAACATTTTCAGTTTTCAAATAAGTACAATAAATATACATATACAAGTACATACATAAAACAAACTACTAACTACAAGAAATGACAAATAAAATATTAATTTTCAGCAACAGTAAGTACAAACAAGCAACAACACAACACCATTTGCTACGAACTATTGTGATCGGTAACGATCACAGATCCACTAATCTTTTTAGAATCTAGTCTACATTGCAATTGCTTAGTTAGTGTTAAGTTGTTAGTGAGTAGCAGGCTTAGCCTTAGCTAGCCTTAGTATTACAATGATAATTGCAAGCATGCAAGCGAGACAGCTATATATTGGCATGTTCCGTTATTCTATAGCTTTAAACTTACATCGCGGGCCGCTGTGCTTGTCGCTGCACTGGCCGTAAAATTAAAAGTCGGTTGCTGCATCACTTCGCCCGTAGAGTTTCCGGTAAAATTAAAAGCCGGCTTTATGGGCGCAATCCGGGGAGGGGCGTTCGAACCCGTGCCAAATGAAAAGTTAAAAGTGCTCGCTGTGGGCTATTAAAACGAAAAAATGATTAATTTGACTTTGGTTTCCCAATATACATATGTATGTCCATATACTATACATATGTACAAGTACATGTACATATGTAAAAAATATGCATAAAAACAGTAATTTCGTTCTAGTAATGCTAAGGCGTATATTATTGAATTGAGCCTCAGAAATTTGAAATCATCCAATCAAATAATACCGCGAATCCGCCTCTTGTTTACCCTATTTCGTTACCCTCTTATTCCACACCAAATTCTTCGGCTAAGACGAATTTTATTGGACCAGTTGTTTCTCCAGCAGCTATATTTCGTATAATGCAAGCTTTAGATTATTCTCTAAACAAGTGAAAAAGCTAACATCGGGTGCCCATGGTTCGAAATTCTGTATTCCTATGTATATGCGAGTAACGGCGTTACAGAAAATCCCCTATAGGGGTGGTAGAGTGAGGGTAAAAAAAAAAAAAAAAAAAAAAAAAAAAAAAAAAAAAAAAAAAAAACAAACTCGTACTGCGTGCATACATAAGGCATCGGTGTACAAAATGTTGTGTCCCGATCTCTTATAGTCTCTTGGATCCAGATGGTCATACGGACGGACAGACAGACAGACAGGACTAGATATAAGCAGCATTCAGCTAGCGTTTCGACTTTCTAATTTAACCTTTCGCCTATCGGGAACAGGGCTTAACAAAGACTGTTGTGACAATACAATTCAAAAGCCCAATATTCTCACAACTTACTACGTGTTTATATGCAACGGACGGAAGACATGACTTAGAGGCGGATCACGTTCCGACCGAATGCTTAAGTTCACACAAAACAAGGTAGAAATATAGGCAAAATTATAATTAATTTAATAAAATAATTTGACTTACATTTGCAGATGATGCAGCTGCGCTTCCAAAATTGAAGGCTGACTTGGGAGCCGTCGTTGTTGTTGCTGTTGTTCCGTCTCTTATTTCACCAATGCCGCTGATACCGCTATTTAATCCAGTTGATTTGGAGACGTTGGCCCACAGGGGCGCCGACGATTGTGTCGTGGTGGTGCTGGTTGCTGCTCCTCCAAATGCATTGCTCACCTGTCCAAATACCGATCCACTGGCTACTGTACCGGATGCTGGCGTAGATCCAAATGGCGTGGTATGCAAAGAGTTTAATGTAGCGGTGGTAGTGGTGGACGTGTTCTGAAAGAGGCCACCACGACCACCAGCGGCGGCAGCGTTGCCAAAGACGAGCGAAGGGAAAGCTGTTGAGGACACAGTAGTGGTGATATTAGTTGTTACTGTGTCCTTATCGACGGACGCGGGCGTCGACTTGTTTCCAAATACAAATAATGAAGCTGAAGTTGACGAATCCTTTTCGTTACTTATGTTATTCTGCACGTTAAACAGCGAGCTTGTAGGCTGCACTGTAGGGGTAGCGGCTACGGTTGAGGCGGTTGTTGTGTTGGCCTTGCTCGCCATAGTTGCAAATCCCACTGGATTGCCGAGAGTCGCAAATACAGATCCAGATCCAGATTCGGGCGTATCCCCAGCTATTTTGGGATGTTGATTTGTGGTGGCCGTGGTTAGACTGCTGCCAAATATAGATTTCTCGGTGACGGCGTTGCCAAAAATGTTTGTCGACACGCTTGATAAAGTTGGTAAAGAGGATACGTTGGTACTTATAGCAATTGATGAGGTTGTTGTTGTTGTGGTTGTTGTTGTTGTGGTTGTTATTGTTGCTGTTGACGCTGCACCAAACACAAAACCTGTTGATGAGCTCGATGTTGTTCCTGCCGTTGTCATTGGTTTTGCTGCTGCGTCTGTTGGCGTGCCATTGTCAACAGCATCGAGCCTTTTGAACATGCCTGTTGTGGCTATAGGGCCGGGCGAGACGCTGTTTAAACTAGAGCTAAATATAGGTTTGGGCGACTTTATGGTATCAGCAGCGGGGGCGCCAAATTTGAAGCCCAGTGGTGCAATAACAGGAGCAGATTCTGTCGTTTTTGTGGTCTCGCTTGCTGTCGATGCTGGAACAGCGCCAAAGCTGAATTTCTGCACCGGCGCGGAAGGGGACCCACTCGTGGCACTGGCCCCAAAACGAAAGTTCGAGATCGCTGAGGCAATAACGCCCGGCTTCAGTTGTTCACAGCAGATGCACGAGTTGCGTGACATATCATTTTGGGCGAGGCACGCATCACAATTCCAGCTAGCGGCCTTTTGTTTGGCAACCAGCTGCTCGAAACCGGCATCGGGCTTTACCTTGGGCATATCATTCGCCTGAAAGCCAAACTTAAAGCTTGGGGTGCTGGTGTTATTAGTGACGGTAGCACTGGTGCTTGAGGATACGTTGTTGCCGGTAACGGCAGGTGCCTTAGGATTGGGGGCTTCGCAGGCCACGCACTTAGCATCGCATGACTTATTCACAATCATACACACATCACACTCCCAAGAATTGGCGGGCCTCTTAATTGTCAGAGGTATAACCAAAGGTGTTGGTGCCTTGGGCTGCTCTACGCCAATGCCCTGCCTGGGCGGTTTTGGCGTAACGGCCTCCACGGGCGCAACCGGCGCATCTTTGGGCACATTCGATTTAGGCGTCAGCGGCAGTGGCAACGAAAATCTATATTTTCTTGGGTTAATGGTGGGCTGCCCCATTCTCCATTCCATGCGAATGTCGGGCAGCGGCAGCCATATCGGCTCACGGAATTGAAATGGTAAATGGCCGTTGCGGCTAGTTCTTTTGGTGTCAGAGTCGGTGGTGGTGCTGCTGATGTTGGTGTTGTTACTCTTTATGTTGTTGTTATTATTATTATTATTGTTGTTGTTAAGCACCGGTATGACCAGATCAAACTTGGGCGTGCTTCGCATGTCCGGAAAGGCAATGTTGGGCAAGTCCAAGGGTATTGGCGGCTCATGGTCGGCCTCATCGCGTGCCTCCTTTCGCGCCGAATGATGCGATAAACGCGATCGCATCTTGTTGGTGTGCATGGCAGAGGGACGCAACGAGGGCATCGTCACTGACTGCAACGATGAGGCTGATGATGGCGATGTTTTCTCGATTTGCGGTTTACTCGGTGCACTTATAATGGAGGGAACTCGTTTGTCCAGCAACGATTCATTGGCCTTCATCGTCTCACGTGCACTTATTGTGACCCGCTGGAGGCGGCGCCGCTCCAGTAGTTCTTGCATAGTTGGAACCAACAGTTCTGTGGGACGTAGCTTCTTTGCCGCGGCTTTTTCATCCTGTGTTAGAGTAGGACGCGTATAGGGCGTTAGGCCGCGATTAAAGCCCAAGACGCGGCGCTGCTGCTGTTGTTCATGGAGTGTGCGTCCTAATTTCTGGACATCGATCAGAGGTGTAGAGTAATTCTTGAGGAGATTGAGGATATTGCGTGCTGTTGTCGATAGAGCTGGATTATTGAAGAGCGGGCTTGCGGCCGTGTCTGGCGTAGGCTCTGGACGCATGATAACGGGCTTCATGCCAGAGCTGCAGAAATTCGGGGATTTCAAAATAGAATTAATATCTGCAGTCGATTTGGGGACCGATATGCTCAAATTTCCGCTTCCGAAAATCGTGCGATTATTGGCTGATAGGCCGCCAAAGGCTGTGGGTCCAGGATAAAATGGTGAGTTGCCCGATTTAGTTAACAGACGACTGTCGCTCAGAGCCGAGGTGCTGCCATATATGCAGGCATTGAATTTTCGACGACTCAGTGAGTTAAGAGACCCCGTCGAATTGTGGTGTGCCAAAAACCCGGTCGAATCTCGGCCGCCCACACTAACACCACTTCTGCCACTACCATTGCCGTGCAGCAGGTCATGGCCTAGGCGCAGCGAACGGCTTCCAGTGCTTCCGCATTCTGATTGTGAGTCTCCAGCGCCGGTATCGCTTACTCCGGCTGTCTCTTCGACTACGCCCGCCACGAAACGTGCGCGTTTGGCATTTATGAAATTGTTATTATTGTTGCGCTTGACGCCACTGTTTAGCAAGTCCGCCGTTGACTCCCGTATCCGCAAGACACGCTGCGGACACAGATTCTTATAGAGATTTTCCACTTGCCACCTTTCACGCCCGGGGCCGGCCCTGCGACCTATGGCTGAATAGGGCCTGCTACCTGGCGTCGAGGACCTTTGGAAGCGGCTAGGAGGAGGCGACTCAATCTACAATCATAAAAAGAAGCAATATACAAATATAATAAGGATAAACTATGCGACAAATTTATAAGAAAACCAAAGCATAATTAATAACAAATTTTATATTTAAGTTTAACACGCCAATGAGGAATATTGAAAAATGCAAATACATATATAATTTCAGGCCAACTTAAACCAATGTATGATGTTTAATTTCAATAACTCCGACGGTCTAAGATGTTCAACCGTCAAATGCGTGTGAACTATACGAACTAAGAAGGCTGACACCGTCTACAGCTAGTTTAATAGCCTTTGAGTTTTCTTTTTTTGATGACCTTTTCTAGAGTTGTTCTAGGAAGAGTGCGTAAAAAGTCACCTGAAATGTTTCCAGTTGCCTGCGTTTTAATGGTGGCCGACTATCATCCACCTCCTCGTCTTCAAGGGCATCGTGCTCAGCTATTTGGTCGGCCAATTCAACATCTCCATAGTCCAATAAATCAGCATCCACGCCATCGTCCACATCAAAGCCATTTAGCTGCTGCTGTGGTACGGGGGAGAACCACTTAGCAACCGAGTCCGGGAGTATGTTTGAGACACGTGAGTGTATTTTATTTAAAATGGACTTCGACTGCAAGAGAACATAAGCGACAAGGAATGAGTATTTGAACATTGGCTTAGCCTCTGCATGTGGCACCACTACCATAGATTGTAGCGGTTGGCTGTACTCACGTTGCTGTCGCTGCAGTTTGGATCCTCATCCGCGTTCGCTATTCTCGGTGAGTGCAACTGTCGCTGTGGTGTTGTCGGTGTTGCTGGCGTTTCTTGTGGCTGTCCATCCTCATATGCGGACATTATTGGATATTAGCCTGCGTATACCAAAAATCACAATAAACGCACACGAAAAGAAAAATTATTTTAAACAATATACACCCAATAACAAAAAAAAAGTAAGCGCGCACTCACACATACAAAAAAAAGAAGAGTCAAATGCGGCACACTGTTGCAATTGCTTGATTCACATGTACGCGTGTCTCGCCGTGTTTATATGCGAGTGTGTGTGAGCTCGTTGCTTGTGCGCGCGTGTGTTTGTAGCGTACGCTTACGTCGAGATTCCAACACACGCGGCGCTTTTGGCTTGCCCTCGCCTTTTTACCGCCGTCGCAGCTTGATTGCTTGCTTGTCCCACGGCTTATGATGATGCTTCTGCTATTGATGCTGTTCCTCCACAGCCAGTTCTGTTATTTCACTGTATAGATAATTTCGTCGGGAGCATCAGAAATTTTTAATCTGCACCTCGACGTTTTTCACTAATTATTACTTCTACACTTAAGTATTCATAAGAATCGCGGTATGGAACTGCAAAAAAGCGATTGAAACAAAAAAATTATTGTTTAGACACTTTTTTATTATATATGTGTGCGTGCTTATATTATTTCTGTTGAATATTGTTAAATTGAATATTATCTCCAAATACGGGCAACGTGAATCAATTTTCTTTTCGTTCGACATTGCCTATAGCAAGCAAAAAGCAGCGGCAGTGGTGGCGGCCTCGCCACGCCGCTGCCGAGGGTTCCACTTACCGCTCTTAGCTGGTCGGTCTGCCACTTAGCGCGTTGCACGCCGAGCGCGCCTTTTATTATGTAGTTTATTGCATAGGCTATCCGCCAACTTAATATTTATTTGTTATATGCGTTTTGCTTGCCTTCTGCGCTTTCACAATTTTTTTCTCTTTTCACACATTAACGTCGTCGCGGTCGGCTATGCGTCGTCTTCGTTGTACTTTGCATTTCGCACAAACGCACTCATTTTTTTTGGTTTGGTGTAAACTCTGTACAACGACCACCGTAACACGTTACTATTTTATTAATTCATCCGGCAGGTGCCCTCTTTATAATTGTTTACTGAACATAAAAACGAAATCAAATAAATTACTTATATTTTCACACGAAATAAAGGGAAAAAGAGTACGATTAATAAAACGCGTGTGCCAGCTTGACGAGTAGCGAATACGATACAGCGAGTTGCGAACGACGAGAAGGAAAATGGCGCCGATTTGTGTGCAAAATGTCCACAGCTGAGGGCTCTGGAACGCGCATTAAACAGAGCTGCATTCGATGCTACTAGAAAATAGGACAAGCGAGAAGAAAATAGTTATCGAATATCTTTTTGTTGATATGGCCACTTCTTATGTGTTTTTGATTGGCAATTCATATATGTAAAAATGTAATTTGAAAAGCACTGCCAATTATAAAACTGCTGCATGTCTGAACGTACTTAATGAATCCCTCCTGTTTTACTAGCTGGCTACAAAAATCCCATTTCTCGGAAATTGCTTATGGATTTAGTTGCATTGGCCTAGATTTGAGGAAAATGTTAACGATTTAGGTCTTTCACAAAATAAAATATAAATGCAGGTAAAAAAATATGTTTATATATTTTTGATGGAGTTACATACATATATATCGATAACACACACTTTCAGCTAATAATATTGCGCCCAATATATCGATAAGCTTATATTGTTTCATAGCGAACACGTTTGTTTATTGCGTGACTGTAGAAACGTGAGTTGGAGCTCTATTTGAATCTTAATTTGTAGTGTAATGGTTACAACAAACCATGAGGTGCAGGCCGGCGCTGCGACAGCTGCCGTGGCATCACTCCCACAGAAACGCTACTACCGGCAACGTGCCCACTCCAATCCCATAGCGGATCACAGTTTCAACTAGTAAGTAAGCTTATTGGAGCTGCTATATAATATTTACAACATTAACAGTAAATATATATTTGTATTCGATTTTTGCTGCAGTCCTGCTCGTCCCGAGGACGTTGATTGGCGTGCCCTGTATCCGAGAATAAGTCTAGGCCAGGAGGTACAGTTCGCTGATATTGGCTGCGGTTATGGGGGCTTTCTCGTCACCCTGGGAGAGATGTTTCCCGAGAAGTTTTCTATCGGCATGGAGATACGAGTCAAAGTGTCCGATTATGTGATAGACCGCATCAGTGCACTCAGGCTGAGGCATGAGGGTGCCTTCCAGAACATTGCATGTCTTCGAACGAATGCTATGAAATATCTGCCCAATTATTTTAGAAAGGGTCAACTGGAAAAGATGTTCTTCCTATATCCTGATCCACATTTTAAACGCTGCAAGCACAAGTGGCGCATTATCAATCAAGCACTGCTCTCTGAATATGCATATGTCTTGCGTAGTGGGGTAAATTTATTTAGGGGTAATGTTTACTAGATAGTACCTTTACTAACTATTATTAACAGGGTCTAGTGTACACGATGACGGATGTAGAAGATCTGCACAAATGGATTGTCACACATATGACTGAACATCCGCTCTATGAACGCCTCGGCGATGATGAAGCTGTAAGTAGCCATTGATATATTGTTTAAAACGAAGCCCTAATGCCTAATATTTTCTAGGCTCAGGATCCAATTACACCCAAATTGTACCAAAGCAGTGAAGAGGGTGCAAAAGTTGTACGCAATAAGGGTGAACATTTTTTGGCAATATTTCGGCGTATTTAATTGCATATATGTTCTTTTTATGTTTAAAATATAACAAGAATAATTTAAGTTGTATAAAAGGTTCAGTACTATGCCTTAGTATCGTCCCCGCGATAGGTCGGCAGTGTTTCGGGCAAGTGTGAACAACAAGGACATTTACAATGCTGCTTTCACATAAATGAGCTGCTATGGCCGATTCCATCGCAACTGATCAGGGCCTGTCCGCTTTCATCGTATGTCGTTTCGAACTTGACTCCGGTCATAGTTTCGGCCACATACATAGCTGTGCGTGTATGCTTGGTGACTGCGCTCGTTTTAATAATGGAGCGTCCACTGGCCAGGGCCATATAAATGATTAACTGATCTTGCAAATGTCCGTCTATGCATACCTCGCTCTTGATGTAACTGGCCAGCTCACAGGACGCATCAGAGCCAAGCACATGGCCATCAATGTTCTTATCGCCTAAAGCGGCTGCGCCAACAACGCAGCCGCTGCTAGTTGATGCGGATAAGACTATGCCAGCACCATTATCGCGGGCCTTCTCGGGACTGAGCTTAAAAGCCTGAATATTGCATTCATTTTCCGGCCACAAACGGTGCATTTCACGCTGGGCTGTTTGCTGCATGTCCAATGAAATGCTCTTCGGCAGACGTCCAGAACAATAGGACCACCCCACCACCGACTTCAGCCGCCCAAAATCGGTGAGTTGCACACTCTTTAAAGAGCTCAGCGGTTCGATGTCCAACACGGAGCGCCCGTTGCCACGTGGATAGAAACCATACTGCAACACTTTGAGTTCAAAGGAGATGCCGAAATGCTTTAGATTTGGCTCCACCACATGCTGCATATACTCTATCTGTGGGGCAAATGAGACATTTGTACCACCAATTACGTCAAGTCGAGACGGTTTGTTGCCAAACAGGAGCACCGGCAGGGCAACCTGATAAATGAGCGTTATGCTCGCAGCTGTGCGTGTATCCACCTTGTAAGTGTCCGAGATCAGAGTTTGAGGTGTAAATTCAACCACAGTGGAATGCATATGGTTGCCGGTGACTCGGGCCTTTGTTATGTTGCGCAGCAAATTCACTCCGTGCACATGTTGATGTGACAAGCCTGGATTTGGTCGGTTGGCGCGTATATTTATAATACGCACCGGACGTTTCAAAATGCAGCTCAAACTTAATGCATTTCGCACTGCCTGGCCGCCTCCTTCTAAATACCCGCCGTCAATTTCTATAAACTCTGCATTCTTTGTATAATCCATGCTATCGTGTATACAAAGCACTTCGTTTGTAACTGTATTGATTTCTTGTAAAGTGACGTGTTAGATGAATGAATTATAATGTCAATTTCGCTTTCTACCCCCGGTTTCGTTCCTATTTTCTACGAGTATAAATCACCCTTCAAAATACAATATACTTCGTTTTCGAATGTTCAGTTGTGGTGTCAATGGCCTATCGATAACTGCTTTTTACAAGTAACCAAAATGTTATCGATAGCTCTTTTTGTGAAAAAAAAACTGGCATCCCTGGTCCAAACAACATCAGTTGCGTTTTATTTTGCTTGCATTGAGTGCAGCGTTTTATTGCGTGATAGAATCCATAATGTCTAATGTGTATTTATTGCCAGTAGCAGTGTTCCTTATATTCCAAGTAACTTTTCTTGGCACGTAAGGCATTTATTGTTCTATCAGCGTGTTTGATATTAATTACACATAATTAATATTATTAGTTACATCGCAGCTGTCCTGGAGGGCCATGTCGTTCCTACCGTGCCGTATATCAGCGACGCTGCCACTTATTCCCCGGAAAGCTGCGTTTTTGGCCAACTCATTAATATAGGCAGCGTACTGCGTAAGTCGTTCCTTTCTGCTTTGAATTAAATCTTGAGCTGAACTGTGAGTCATGTGCTGATAATTTCGCATTTGCTGACGCATGTTGTTTTTGGTTGCGATTTTATTTTAGTGGGAATCACAATCTATGTGCGCTATCGTCATATTTTGCAACTGTACGAGCATCACCCTGAGTTGGATGTTGCTGTCTTGCGCCACAATCGTCTCGCTTTGTGGTTCGGCTTGATATCCTGTCTAGGTATCAGTTTTGTGGGCAATTTCCAGGAGACAAATGTGCGAATTGTACACTTTATTGGAGCCTTTTGTTGTTTTGGTTGCGGCACACTTTACTTTTGGATGCAAGCACTCATCTCTTTCTCAATCTTGCCAATGGCTGGTACCCGCATCTACGCACACTTGCGTCTGGGCATGTCGGTCTGCTGCACCATCTTGTTTATAGTCGTGGCCGTGACCGGTGTTATGTCACACATACTTTTCAAAGGACAGAATCCGCGCAAATGGTGTGTAATTGAAAAATGTGGTTGGTAATTGGGTGTTGTGGATATTAAATTCGATTTGTTTTATGCAGGTACCCTTCGGATGGTGGTTGGTATTTCCATGTCATCAGCTCCATTTCGGAATGGATAATTGCCACCGTATTTAGCTTTTACATACTTACCTTCACAAGAGAATTTCGTGATGTATCGCTGGATCATCCGCAGATTTCCCTGATCTCCTACTCTATGACAATTTAGGTATTAGATTCATAGTTGGAATGTAGGTATGTCAGTCACAGCTTTAAATGGCAACGACCAGTACGAAAATGCACCCATAAGCAGGTACTAGGCTGGAAGCCGGCCCAATAAATACGCAGGTCGGGCTTAAAAAAAGGCACTTTCAAATCATTAAAAATTAAAAGCTACTAAATCCCTTACACTTAAACACCATTTAATTAAGGACTCGGTCCAACGAAGCATAGTTTCACTTTTATTTTATACATTTTTTTTTATGATTTAAGCGCTAGCAAACCTTAATATTCATTTTCTACTATTTATAGTTTTTTAAAATAACCGTATTTCAAATTAAATTTTTCTTTGAATTGAATTGGAATACCCAAAAATTATTGGGTTAGTTTGTCAGCTTTTGGTGCTTATTGTTGTCCGCTTCGATAAACCTATTGCTGTGATAAATGTAAATATGTGCATATACCATATTTTTATGGATCATGCCCCAAGGAAGTAGAGTTTGACTTTTTAGTGTTCTTATATAAATATTCCTTCATTCGTTCATTAGGAGACTAGAATGCCAAACTCGAACGTGAAGATAAACGCCAGTATTTCAAAATTTATAGGATGCCAGACAGTCCTTTATTCAACAAAATTCGAATACGTACCGTTAAAAAAGTAATTACATTAATAAATGTAAGTGCGTTTGACAAAAAAGTTTTCATGTGTGGAAACAAGTTTATTACCTTTTTATTATTTCATATAAATATTGCATATTAAAATGGTGGAACCCTTAATTGAAATCCAAATAAAGAAAAAAAACGTATGCTGAATCGGGGTGGTATATGATTATCTATAGACTTCTACTTATAATCTAACGTTTGCGATCTCTGGAACGTTCACCGTCACGATGCTTGTGACCTCCACGGCTACCATGTCCTCCTCCTCCACTGCTTCGATGCGATGAATAGCGACTATGTTTGCCTGAATTGGAGCTAGAGTTGCGGTACTTATCGTTGCTATCGCTGGCATTATTGCAGCCCGCATTACTTGAGCGTTCCTTCTTGACATAATAATCGGAGCGTTCCCGCGAAGATTTCCTATTAAAAAAATATAGTTAGTCAAATAACTGAGTGTAAATCATATTCTCACCTTTTTCGATGTTTACTGTGAGGTGAGCTGGAAGGAGAGCGCGAATAGTGGCGTGATTTCTTTTTGTGTTTGGGTGGCGAACGGGAGCGTGATCTTGAAGACCGGCTCCGGTCACGCTCGCGCTCCCTGTCCCGGTGTGACTTTTTCGTGCGTTCCCGGCTAGGTGAGCGTGTGCGTGAACGTGATCGCGGCGTGCGTGACTGCGTACGGCTCCTGGAACGTGACCGTGAATCCTTTTCCGGCGACTTCTCCGATGGTAATGGCAGGGGCACTGCACGCTGTATAAAACCACCCCAGGCATTGTGCGAGCCATTATTTCGATCCACAGTTATAACTGCAGGCGGCGTGTTCACCTCCTTTGTCTTATTTCTGGCATCGATGTAACGTTTCTTTAGCTCATCGACGGCGGCTTCCAACTTCTCGACAGTTGGCTTTGCACGCGTGTATAGCTCCATAACCCGATAGCATATATCCGTTATGTCAGCCATGGGGACACGGAATATGCCAAACCAAGGTGGATTATTAGGCAGCGGTATAATCAGCTTACGGGCGCTCAGGTAAATGCAGGCACAGGCTATGGCCTCGGGCGTATAACGCATGAATACGTCCGTGCGTAACGAGTCATTCATAAAATTCCATGACATTTGCATAAGCTTTTCGTGCTTCTCGTACTGCAGCACCTGTAGATACATTACGATAAGCTTATGGGGATGCTTGACGTGCACACAGAAGCCCAATTCCTTCAGCACACGACGCTCTGCCTTAATCACTTGCGTCTTTAGATTAGTGTAATATTGATCCAATATCATGGGTGCAATTTCCCTAGGCAAGAGCGATAAGAAAAGGAAAACTGATCTTAAGTAGAAGATACATTTATTTAGTTCTATGTACTTACTTTTGGGCGCGTACTTGCTTAATATGATGAAATACGTTAATAACATCGCGAATGCGTCTGGGCGCTTCTTCGATTTTAGATGCCAGGCACACACAGCTCATGGCTACTGTCTCCATGTTGTGCCGCACAAAGCTCTTCGAGTAAAAGAAGCGTTGAAACAGAACCTGACCAGTGGCCATAGCCACCTGCGGCAGCTTTAGCAGAATGCCGGCAGTTTGTATCAGCTCACAGCCCAGTATGCGCAAATCCTTCTCCGTCTCATGGTCAAGACCATCTTGGCTAGATGGCGTCACATCAATCTTATCTTCTGGTATAAGGCTGTTTTCCAGCGTTAGGACGATTTTGTTGAAAAGGCGCGGATACACAGGCTTGGAAGCCTCGCCGTCAACTCTCGCGGCTCCATCATGTGCATCCGAGTTTGTGGACCCAGCAATATTGTTCGAAATGTTCACATTGTTCGAGTGTATGGAGCTCGAGGTTAGCACATTATTAATAGCATCCACCGCCGCCGCTACTGTGCTGTTTGCCAGGCCTGTTGTGGCAGCAATAACAGCAGCAGCAGATCGACTGGCCATTTAATATGGCGTGACACGGATGTGGATACACTTACCGCGAGTTAAAACTAAACGTTTGTTGTTCTATGCCACTAGCCGCGTTGTCTGAATGTTTGTATACAGGCGCGCACGACGGATTTGCGTTTACAAAATAACCTCTATATTTACCATGATCAGCCGAACATTTATTTCAGAACGCTTTTCCAGAAAATGTCCGAACCCGAAACACACACAGCTATCGTTAAATGTTATCGATAGCACAATATCGGGTTGTAAGTCAAAGTTGCCATACCGAGATCAAGTTCGACCCAAACGGCATGGATATTGCATAAAGCTTCAAAGAACGCTAGAAATTTACGATTCCCTACGACATGACACGGTTTTTTGCATTTTTTTCCAAGCCCAATTATATTTAATAGATAAATTCTTACCTGCACATAATCAAGACCCAATCAGTGTTTTTTTTTAGTTGTGTCAGCTGTTTGCCACCCAACTCCCACGCAAGATAGGTAATGGGGATGAAAAGGCATCGATATACCGAGCAAAAGCAGTGTCTCAGTTTGAATTTGCATCGCTAAACAGTTGTAGAAAAGCATTGCTGTGGTGAAGTCAGCAAATGGAGCGGTAGCGACGCAGTAAAGAGCCAATTGTGCAGCAATAACTGGCTAATAAATTAATAATTACTCTAAAATTCGTTGTCGTAATCAAATTGAACACAAAAAGCGCAGAGGAAAACGCTAATAATGAACAGATCTGTGCATATAAATATGTCGACAAGTATCGAAGCGTAAAAATCGAAGACGACCAGCAACCAACCCCACATTTGGAACCAACACAAACACAAAAAACAACAATAAAAAAACATAAAAAGAGAAATCATAATAAAAGGTATATGCTAAGCTAGCGAACGATATGTTTTGTGAAATACTTATTTGCATAAATGTTTAGTTTTAAAGCTGGGGGACCAAGCACAGACGTTCATACAAAATACATATGAATTTGTGTACATATATGTGGGGCTATAAATGGTGACAATAGAAACAACAATAACAATGATCCAAGCATAAGCAGCTGTGGTGTGCCTGTGATCATCTGTGAGTGTTATTTTTTTTTTTCAATTTGATGAACGTGAATTTCGATTTGTAACTGAATAACGAAATGTCATGTACAAAAATGTGTAGTTTTAGAACAAATAACGCCCAAGTTTGCCTTTATATAGGCGCATACTTACGTATCTAAATACATATGTATATCATATATATGCATATATATATACATATGTACATGTATATACATATGCATACAGCAGATGTTTTATGTACGTATGCATATAAGCACAAATGTATGTATACGTGTGCTTGTGTATGCAGCCAGCCCTTGCAGTTTTGTTTTGTCTTATGACAATATACCCATATACAACATATGTACGTATGTATGTACATATATATATGTATATATATATATAAGTGTTGTGCGCCTTTGTGTCTGTAATTCTGGCTCGCTCTCTTTCTCGCCATACCACTTTGTATGCCTTTATGTGTGCGTGCGTATATATGTATGTAGTGTTCGTGCATAGCTAAAATAGCCATTGTAATTTACTCTATTTTGGCTTGTGTTTGTATACCCAATAATTGCACTTACACCAGTCTAACGAATCCTCAGTCAAGTCAATTTCTTATGTTAGTGTTAAGAATGCCAATCCGTACCCTTTCTCCAACGAAACCGTTAGACTGCATGCTCCTCCTACATATTCATCGTCATTATTGTTGCTGCTTCTGGTATTCCTTGTGCTTTTGCTCCTTCAACTTTGCTATGGTTCTAACTTCAAGTACATTTACCTTATTCTTTCTTCAAGTGGCTGTGTGTATGTATTTACATACATACATGTTTGTTATATCTATGTACGTTTGTGCTTAAATGATTAATTGGGAAAGTGTCGTTTTGTTATTGATTAAAACAAATAGACACATGCCTAAAAACTACTATAGGTATGTACATTCGTTCATGCATATGTACATATGCATACATGTGCATATCTGCATGTCAGTGTGTGTTTGTAAATAAAAGTGTCATACTGATTTTTATTTACATACTTACGTCATACATACATATGTTAGAATGTATGTATTTAAATGTATTATGAATACTGCTGGATTTTGATCTTCTTTGTCATGATCACGCCTTCTGCTTCTCCTTTAACATCTCGCTTGCTTTTACTACGCACTTTTATTTTGCCTCTGTATTGCGTTGTGCTTACAGTTTCTTTACATTTTTCGTGTTGCCTTTACTTTTGCGTTTTACGGCTTATCAGTTCCAACAACAGTGCAGTATTTATGTACATACATTCATACGTATGTATGTATGTACGAATTTGAGTGTATCTGCGTATGTGTTTATTTTCGTTAGTTTAAATGTGTACAGCGTAATTTAGGAACAATGTGTACGTCTAATAATTTATTTAGCCTTATTTTATTTATTTATTTAGCCTATCTTCAAATTTCTCAGGATTTCAACATGTTGAGTATAAAGCATACATACATATGTATGTATATTTGTAATGACATAGTACACACAAGGAGACCTGCAATATCCACCCTTGCACTGTCATTGAATAAATGTTTCTTGTTGTTTTTGAAGAACTAGTTCAAGTGTGATGGATCGAAGCTAATGTTCGATACATTTGAGCTAATGCAACTTTAATGATGCTTTCTATAATAATAGTTTGTGCTACCTGTAACAACTACCATTTTCCCAATAATTAGATAATAGAAGAAATATGTACATATGTATATGGATTTATTTTATTTTTTTTATATGTCTTAACAAATAATAGATTAATATTAATAATTAATAAGAGCATGTACCCATACATACATATGTACAAACTATATATCAACATTTTTCGAGGCAGATTTTAAGGGTTGTGTCTTTATGATAATTAAATACTTATAATATTTGGTATGTCAAAGGTCCTATAACAAACTATAGCCACATAACTTAATGGGTACAAATCTGTCCAAAAAATCAGGAAAGTGCACGGGTTGTTTTGCGTCGGTAACTGGTTCTGAACATATGTATGTATGTAGTATGTATTTACATAGCTCTGTTGTAATGTACATATCTCACTATAGTGAATATTTAAAGGTTTAAGGGTGCATTGTGTGTACCCTGTAAATATCTTTCAAAATTAATGTATTGTATTCAGTGACCTCAAAATAACCATAGATTTGTTTATATATGTATGTTGATACTTGAAATTACAGTGAATACATAAAGGATTGATCGTTTATTATTAAAAAAAAAAAAAAAAAAACTTTAAACCTAGAGATATTGAAGTTGCATGTATTACATACAAACATATGCCAACCCGTGCGTAGTTTGTTAAACTGGTCCATGTACATACATACATATGTATGAATTTGTAAAAAATGTTGAAAAATACATGCGCGTTTAATTTACGCCTTGTAAGTTTCATATTTTTAAGCAAATTTCTTGGCACACAGTCGCAAGGCTCAATTTTGAGATGTATGTATGTATGTATGTTTACTTACATACATATGTATATGTACATATGTATGTATATGCATGTATATACATATGTGTATGTACATTTTTATATTCAATATGTACATAGATATGTACATATGTATGTCTAAAAATGTACTTATGCATTTATGAGGTCTCGTCGCTTGTGCGTCATAGCATTTTTACCAGTTAGCCAAATGAAGCCAACATGATGTACAGTAGTGTAGGAATAACCGATTAGCTAGTGAGAGTGTGTGCCTTTGTTGCATTCATTCACTCATGACCCCGCCGCCCCCCTTTGCACACCATATAGACACGAACGTCGTCACCGCTCACGGCCTGCGTGCTGCCGCTGCTGCTCAATGCCAATGAGAGTTATAGCCAGACAAGACTCTCTGCCCTGCAAACGAAATGACGAAAAAACGGCTGTGCCTCTCTCTCTAACTCTCTGGCTCTCTGTAGCAATCAGCAGTGCTATTTTATCACAGGTTCACTTCATGCTGAACCACGGTGCATGTTTCAGTTATTATTTCATTTGCTATCACATCGAATGGGGCACTGTGCGTGCGAATGTGATTAACAAATAATCATGCATGTCTATAAATGAACAACAACAATAAACATAACTGACAATTGAATTTGAATAAAAATTAAATACTTAAATTAACACTCATTGTGCTCCGTCATCCAAACGTTAATTGAATTATTTTAAAAGGTATTTACGTAAAAGAACACTAAACTTTGAGCTCCAGAACTTTTAATTTTGATTTGTTACTTCTTGTTTTGTAATCACTAAAACGCCAGTAACAATTGAATGTGTAAAAAAGTTATTTAAATAATCACTCATTGTGCTGCGCACCTAAATCTATTGAATAAGTTTCCGTTGCCAATCGGCAGCTGTGATGTTGAAATTAAAACGACAATTACTAAACAAAACTCAACGCAATCATCCAAACTCTCAATAGTGATAAAAGCAACAACAACAATAACAACGGCATTAACAACAGCGAACAGCATCAGGAAATAAAGAATAGTAAAGCAAAGCAAAGAAAAGTGAAGATAAAAGCTAGAAACTAAACGTAAAATGAAAACAAAAATTACTTTGCTGTGTGTGTGTGTTTATGTATTTGCCTCTCTTTTTGAAATGTTTTAAAGTTTCGTAATTCTTAAAAGTGCATAAAATTAAGACACAAAGATAACAAAAGCAGTTTCGAAAAGACACCAAATACACAAATACATACGAGTACATACATATGTATGTATCTGCGTGTGTATGTACGTTTGCAGGGGTGTGTGTGTGTTGTTTTTGTGTGATTTTGTTTATGAGCAAATCAACGTGTAAATTAAAATTACAACGCATTTGCTTTTTCAAATTATTTTTTGTGGTGTGTTTTTTCATCTCCATGTACTCTCATGTCTATGGTGAATTTTTTATTTTTTGTCTTTTTATTGAGCCCTTGTGGCGTTTGAATGCTGCCAAACAAAAGCAATCAACAACAATTTATAAATACTAACATGAAAATTTGCCGTGCCATCACCATTATTAGCCATGCACGTCAACAACAACAAATACAACAATGGCAGCAATAGACAAAGAAAATAATAACAACAACACATTGCCCTTGTCTCGTCTTTGCGTACGTTGTCTTTGGCAAAAATAAAATTGCAGCTGTGGAGAGTATTTTGTCGTCATTTGACTTGTTTGTGTATTTTTGTAGTCTCCGTATTGTTGTTGTTTTCCTTGTTGATCTTCCCATGTGCATGATGTTTTCAAACAGAGGCTTATAAGCAGGGCCAAGCTTTATTCCCTCGCGATTTCATACATATGTTCATATACATATACCTTTATGCGTATGTATATTATATATTATGTGTATATTGCTCAAATAAACATACATATATTTATTTATATGTATATACATACATACATACATACATATGTGAGCTTGTACAAGAAAATATCCCAAACTGAGACTAAAAGCCACAACACAAAAGCAAAGCAAATAAAAACAGTAAACCTGTATCTATATGAGTATGTATGGGTGTGCTTAGAGAGAGAGAGAGAGAGAGAGAGAGAGAGCGAGTGTGCGTGTGTATGCTTAAAGAGCAGGTACAGTAAAACATACCTAGCATGTAAAACAAAATAGTCATCACAATATGTATTAATAATTGTCATTGTTTCGTTCTGTACGAATGTTGTTAGTATCTTTTACTTTTTGAGCACCTCATGCGCTCCATTTTGCTATTAAATATGTATTTTATTTATGTTCACATACTTATGTATGTATGTATATTGGAAATTATGCATTGACCTTAAAAATGTATTTTTACATTTTGGCACTTCTAGCGCGCCTAGTCAGTAGCTACTTTACTGTTGTTAACTGCGAGTGCATTGAATTTAAGTGACCCTCTCTCTTGTTCTCGCTTAGTTTTTGGCTCTCTGAGCATGCACGTATTGGAGAAGCCAATAACATAAAACAGCTGAGCTTGTTTGGAAACAACAGTCCCCCATCCAATGGAAATGGGACGAGTCAGCAATGTCGCCTTCCCCCAACACCCTTTATCATCAAAGCAAATGCGGTACTAAAAGCAAGTCGAAAACAAAAACAATTAGAGCTCTAAAGCGAGTAGTACTTTTTGAGTTGATTATATTTTTCCGTTCAACTATTGTCCGCTTTCTACTATAAAAAGTGCGATAGGGCGGGCTGTTAGACAGTAAGACGCACCAAGTTAAAAAAAAACCCAACCAGTACACACATACATACATATGTATATAAGTATTGTTAATGCGAGTGAGGTCTTAGAATAAGTTTCACAACATACGGAAGAATGGTAGAAAATTAAGAATTGTGCGAACGCTTGATTTGGCGCGTATTTGTCATTCTACAATTTTATTATTTCTTTAGATTAGGAATAGGGATAGGAAAATTACTCCACGATTATAATTTATGTATTGTAATATTTTAAATGTATTTCTATTTCACTGTCGAACTATTCATGTTGCAACTTTGTCTGAAATTCAAAAAACTATTTTAACAAAGTGCAAGAGAACGCTAACATACTAAGCGTATGATAAATACACAAGTGTGTATGTCGTTATTCATACGCCTGGTGTGACGTTGTTTTCAGTCTATTTCCGAACCTGAAAGTATGCAATAAAATTAATTTTTCACATACACATGCATACACATGCATACATATGAATGCATGTATATACTAGTAATATCTGTACATACATACATGCATTCGCATTCATGCATATATTCATATGCATTTATGTGATTACATTATATACATACATATGTACATACATATATCACATATCCTTGAGTTAAGACTTTATGCATAATGAGGTTTTTTTTATATTTTGATTTAAGGTTGCATGCATATTCCAATGACGTGTACGCTGCTTTTTCGATGCGGGGATAGAGGGCGGGTGTTTTAAAGTAAGATGGGGTGACATTGGGCTAAAAATTTGCAGCAGGAGACGTAGAGAGCGAAAGGCAGTTGCAGAGCGTGAGAGAGAGTCACATGTTGCAATAAATATATATGTGAGAGTATATTTATATATACAAGTATGTATGTATGTACATACATATGTATATATATTTTTTTCTGTCGAACATCGACGTCATAATTCGGCTGCCGACTTCCGTTCCTTCTGCTTAAGCTGCAGCTAAATATGCAGCTGTTGTTTCTACTTGTAGTGCTGCTGTTGTTGTTGCTTCTCTTGCTGATGCGTTGTTGACATAGTTTCTTTATTTAGGCCGTCCAGCAGCGCGTGTTGTGCCGTTTTGAGCATTTGACCTACATAAGCATTTGCGCACTCACGGTCAACACTGCATACATTTATAGATACTTTCATGCAAATTAATACAAAGGAGCGTCTTTTGTATAGAATATGGCACGCAATCTAGACATTTTTGTGTATGTATGTATGTATACATACATACTATATATACATTTCAATAGGGCCTAAAATTTATAATACAAACTCTTCAACGTTCTGATTGCCGTGTCGCAATTAACTAATGTTTTCCCATTTAAACACTAAATGTAGTTTTCAATAATTTTTACTCAGTTAATTCTTTATCATCACTATTAGCTCAGTTCTGGATCAAGCATTCTTGATGTTGTCCACGGCCAATCTTGAAGCGTTTTCTTAATAACATATGTAGCTTTGTAACGTCACTTGATTTTGGTAACATTTCGTCAGTTATCATTACATAGCATAGTTTAACTCTTTTTACGATGCTGTTGTGTATTTAATTGATAATAACATATTTTGGCATGAATAAATTCAAAATGTTATTGAAAACTTAACGGTTTTTGTTTGTTTATAAAGAAAGAGAGACAATTGATCCTCGCTATTTTTGTATATTTCCATTTCCGCAAGCAGTGGCTTGGAGTGGGTGAATAAACTAATCGATAAGATAAATAGATAGTAAACATATAATTATTGAAATTGAATTGAATTTCACAACTAAACGCATCTCTCTTTCTTTTCCTTTGTCTATGTATTTCAGAACCCCGCTCCGTTGTTGCTGGTTCTTCGTGCGCTTCAAATAGAGAGAGTTGTGCATAGAGCGGGCCAGAGAGCGAGCGACAAGTACCACCTATAGCCTTAGTAGTAGATAAACACACACGTGCTCACCGAAACAGCAACACCGATACCAATACCGACAGGAACAGCAACCGACCGACCAGTTGGCCAGCCAAGTATAAAAATGTCGTCGCCCAGTGCTGGTAAACGACGTATGGACAATGATGTCATTAAGCTAATTGAATCCAAGCACGAAGTCACCATACTGGGCGGCCTCAATGAGTTCCATGTTAAGTTCTTTGGACCAACGGGGACTCCGTATGAGGGCGGTGTTTGGAAAGTGCGCGTATATCTGCCCGACAATTATCCTTTTAAATCACCAAGCATTGGTTTTGTGAACAAAATCTATCATCCCAATATTGACGAATCGTCCGGCACTGTCTGCCTTGACGTTATCAATCAGGCCTGGACGGCCCTCTATGATCTCTCCAACATATTTGAGTCGTTTTTGCCGCAGCTGCTCACATATCCGAATCCCGTCGATCCCCTCAATCGAGATGCGGCCGCACTGTACCTACACGAACCGGAGGAATACCATCGAAAGGTGGCCGATTATGTGCAACGATATGCGACCGAGGATGCGCTGAGGGCGGCGCAACAGGAGCGGGAGAGCAGCGACAGCGAGTCAAGCATGTCGGACTATAGTGAAGACGAGGCCAGAGATATGGAGTTATAATATCGGTTTAATTTTCTTAATTATAAACGACAGCGTAATGCTATTAGTAGCCTGATCTAAAGTGCATATGCAGATCATTATATATATATAGACATATATGTACATATATATATGCATATGTGCTCGATCTATAATCAACCAATTATGATAAATGGGATATGAACGTGATTCGATGATTGCGCATGCCAGCCATTCATTTGATTGACAAGTGCATGGATATGTGCGCACATACACATACATACAAACATACATACAAACATACATCTATACATACATAAATACATATAGACAGACCGACAGACAGACGCATATATAAATGTATGTGTACATAAATATAAAAATAATTTAAGCAGAAAGTTTGCAAAGGAAAACAATTAGTAATAGCTATTAATAGCTGATAAAACAAAACAAAGAGGAAATATAACAAACAACAAAAAATATATATTATATATAACTTTTGGAAACATAACAAAACTAGGTAACAAGTTGACGATAAGTGTGTGGCTAAGTGTACCACAAAAAATTGAACAGAATATTATGCAGTTTAGTGTGACGCAATTAAATGGCTCTGATAAGTAAATACATACATACAAACAAACAAACAAACAAACAAACAATAATATGTCACATGTAAAATATTTAATCACGTTCGTGCTAAAACTTTAGAGATGTGCAGCAGCCAATCAAGTCGAGCATTCTAAATAATTATATATGTACATACATGCATTGGTAAATATATATAACTATGTGTATATACATGCGTATGTGTATGTGTATGTGCATGCAGATGATACATACACACACACATAAGAGAAAAGAGAGAAAATTGTCTACGATTGTGTGTTCCATAACGAACGCCATGGCAACATTGGTTGGCTTTGCAATTTTTTTAAAGTTTATAGCGCGTACAAATACAGATTCTCTCTAAAACACAAATATACAAAACACACACACACACACATACACGCATGTATGTATGTAACAAAGTTCAGACAATGTCTGCCGCTGTCCAATGCACGCGATAATGAGGCTTCAGCATTGATGATTGTTACATGCACACGGGTCTGTTTCTCAATTGTTCAAAATAGCTTAAATAAATTGCAGTCCACAACAACAATAACAACAACATCAGGACACACATACACACACACACAAACAACACTACACAACTACCTTTTTCGCATTGTAACTTAAAGATGATGACAAATGTATCCGACAGGCAGACTTTATGACAAGTTCAAGCCTTTTCCAGTTGGATCGCTGACTTGAAAACAAACAACTAGAACGGGCCTCAAGACGTGCACTTTACGTTAAATACTTACTACAACGAAACACGTGCTAATAGTATATGCATTTTGTCAAATCAAACACATTAACGACACATTGTCATCAACACACACTTAAAAACAATAACAATAATAACAATAACAACTTAGATTTGTGCAAAAGCTATTGCAGTTTTGTTAGCCAAAAATGCCAGATGATGAAGAGCGCGTATCTAAATAAAAAGTAGAGTTGGCGATTCAACTGAAAAATCTTACCACAGTAACAGCAACAAGAGCAGCAGTTATCGAAACGTTCTTTTTTTCTTGTTATTATATTAATATTATGATTATTACTATGGTTATTATGTAATTTATATGCGTAGGATTTTTATTGATTGATTGTGTGTGTAATTTTAAATGATTAACTCGGACGCCTAAATATTTATTATTTACAGTTTTTTATTATTAGATTAATAGAATTTTAATTGATTGTCGTCGTCGTTATTGATATTTCTATTCATCTATCTATCTATAATTTTGTGCTTCAACAATACATACGAGTATATAGAGAATATATTTATTTTTTATTTCTGTTTTTCCCCTCAACTCTAGAGTTTGAAAGTTCGGATTAGTTCTGTATTAAAAAAAAAAAAGAAACAATACAAACAAACAAACAAGTAAAAATGTTTTCATATTTCTCGCTTTTTACCTAATTACGATTAAAATCGATGGAACAGATTAATGCTAAACAATTCGTATAACTAATTATAAAAGATTTAATAATACATATATATAAATATATATATATAGATATATGTAAAACACACTGATTACTAATGAAAAGAAAACAACAAACAAAAACACAACAAGTAAAACAGTTATGTAAGGTTTTTAAACAAACAAACGAGAAACAAACAAATTAATACAAATAATGAATAAATTTTAAAATATTGTACTAACACTAATATTCTATGCTTAAGTTCGAAAGTGTTTATGAAGGATTATGTAAAAACAAATGGAAGGACAAATATGAATTTTATATATATACAGATATAATACGGAACAGAAACAAATCTTAAAACACACACAATAACTAATTTAAAAGAAAATAAAAACAAATGCGAATGCAAACAAAGAAGTGAATTCAATCTTTAGAAAAAAAAGAAATACATTTAAAAAACAAAAACAAAAAACGAAAAAACAAAAACAAAACAACGTTGTTGAAATCTAACAATAAAAATGAAAAACAAAAGAAAAAACCTATTAAGCATTTCAATTTCATTTAATTAAATTCACATTAATGGCTGGCTTGTGGATTGGCTTTCCGCCAAAATTCAGATGAGATCAGACTGGATTGCCCAAATTGTATATTTATCCGAATTTTCAGCCCTAGAAAATAAATTGAACTGCAGGAGCAACGCAATCGTCAGGTCTGAAACCTCTTAAGGTTATTAAGAATGATTAAAAGCTTTTTTTTTATTAATAGAGAGTGAAATATATACAATGTTTATAAATATACTAGTATTTCGGTTTCTGTGAATATCTTTGGAGATACTTGGGTTTCAGAGGATACTTTTGCATATCTCAGCCAGTTTTGCCTTCCTCATCTGCAGTCACAGACCAATGCTTTACTAAATACAAAGGTGTTTTAAATCCAGAGATATTATGGTTTTGCTCTGCAGCAATGGATCGCCAGAGAATTTCTTTCGAATTCTGTGAGAATCAGGGTTTTGGTTGCGATCGAACATACCCGAGCACACCCATCGAGAGCAGTCGTTCAAGGTCCTCGAAGGAACTGCCAATGGAGGGACGGCCTACTCTTTCTTGTCGTCACTTCTTTGTTTTATCAATAAGCAATCGCAACGAGCTGGCACAGATACACAGACACACACACAGACATACCGCATATAAGCAGATAGGAAGATATAAGTGAACCAACCGCACCCTTATCTACAAGTATAGTAGGCTAACCCACAATCCAATCCAATTTGTCCTCTGGCCGCATTTTGTTGCTGTTTGTCAACACAGAGTCGGGCTGTCGTCGTCTTCGTCTTCGATGTGCGAACGCTAAGAGTCATGGAAACTCAAGTTGTTTGTTGATTGCTCCTTGAAGGAGTTCTTGTTTTGGTACTCTTTCAATACCGCCCAGGCCCAGGGACAGGGAAACGTCTTGTTTTTTGTCGAGCTGCTACGCGAAGTCGAGAACCGCAAAACCGAATGGGTATTACATTTAAAATTCATCAGTTTTGAACATTGCATACATATTATCCAACTAACTAACAATCTCCATTAACTTGGCCCTAAAGTGTGTGCGTGTGTGTGTGTGTGCTCCTCATTAAAAATAAGTATGTATGTATGTAGGTGCCTGGCATCTATGCAATTAATTAAGTTTGCAACACCGTGCGGTTTGTTTTACAAGCATATACAAGTATTGATAAATATTTATGATAAATATTTATGTATTTACAGAGAAGTTGCAACTAGTAGGAACATTATTGCGTAACATCGAACCATTTAATCAATCGCAATCAAGAATATATAAGTATTATATAACTAATCAACCGCCTAGCTTCCCTTCCTTGCTATTAACCATAAAATGAAATGAAGCTACAAAATAATCCAAAGGCACTTTAGACCTGAAGCTTCCCAAGAAAATTTGACCCGGACTGGTTACTAAAAACAACATGTTAATTCTTGAATATGTTCCTCTTGAACTATAGTGTGTTATACAAGGTGTGTTCCAAAGTAAACAGGACTTAAAAAAAAAAAAAAACAAAAATGTTTTTTCGGCAAAATCAATTTATTTTATTCAAAATAGTCTCCCTCTGCTTCAATATAGCTTTTTGCACGATCCAAAAGCATGTCGAACGAGTGTTTTAGCTCGTTGGCCGGTATGGCCGCCAGTATGTCGGTGCAAGCCTTTTGAATGGCCTCTACGTCTGCATAACGCTTTCCTTTCATGGGCAAATGCATTTTTCCGAAAAGATAGAAGTCGCACGGTGCCATATCAGGTGAATACGGCGAGTGGTTAATGGTTAAAATGTGATTTTTGGTCAAATAATCGGTCACAAGCATCGATCGATGAGACGGATTCTGAGCAATTTTTGGTCGTCAGTCAATTTGTGCGGAACAAATCGTGCACACACCTTTCGTAAGCCCAAATGTTCGGTCAATATGCGATAAGTCGATGTTTTTTGGAGATGTTCAATTCCATTTCCATCAATTTCAATGATGATTTCGGCTGATTTTTGATGAATTCACGCACAGTTTCGATGGAATTTTCAGTGATCACGAATTTTGTTTGGCCCACATGTTGATCGTCATTTATGTCCTCACGACCACTTTGAAAATGTTGAAACCACTCGTGCACTCTGCTACGGAATAAGCAATCATCGCCATAAACTTGTGCCATCAATTGAAACGTTTCGGTAAAAGTTTTACCAATTTCAAAACAAAATTTAATGTTGGCTCTTTGTTCTAAGCTCATTTTCGCACCGATAACACAAACATACTGACACTTAAAATGCAATAACTTCACTTCCAATCGATGAAATGTCCAAAAATTCTCACTGGACAATCGATAAAGATAGCAGATTCTAGTCGACATATTGATAGCACCACCAGGGGGCGCTAGATTCAAAGAGTCCTGTTTACTTTGGAAAACACCCCAAAGGTTTAATCACATTTTCCATTAAAACGGAGTCATAAACGTTCATCTGACAGCCGTAAGTTTTAATATATAGGCGTTTCATATTTGGTATGTCTTTTTCAAAATTTCTTCATTGTATAGGCATGCGAACGGCTATTCAGATTTCCCATGCACTTGTTATAGGCCTTGTTCGGAATGGCATTCACTTCCTTCAGCGAATGACATTTTCTATCCTTATCGGCACATGGCGAGCTACGCGGAGCAATTACACGCTTGTCCAATATTGATATAATAATGAATAAATGTATCGAGGAAAAAAATTTGGCGGTGAAAGGACAAAAATTATATTTTTTATACCCTGTACCCAAAGGGTGAAAGGTTTTGTGCGAATGTGTGTAACAGACAGAAGGAGGCGTAGCAGATCCCCAAAAATATATATATAATTGATCAGGACGACAAGCCGAGTCGATATAGACATGTCCGTCTGTCTGTCCGTCTGTATGAACGCAGGGATCTCAGGAAGTATAAGAGCTAGAACAACCAAACTTGATATCCAGATTCTCCTAAGACCGAGAAAGTACGAGTTTGATTTTTTTCAAAGCATTTTCTTTTTTAATTTTCTTTTTTTTTGAGGGTACAGGGTATTTTACTGTCGGGCTTGCTCGACTGTAGCGTTCTATCTTGTTAGGTATTGCTTTATCTATTACATAATATAAGTTTTGAAGGGGTTTTTGAATTTCATGAAAATCATTAGTTAATTGAAATTCTAACAGTTTTGTCAATATTTCTACAGATTCTTGTGTAATATAATAATATTCTTGTTAATAGCAAAAGATGGTGAAAAACATAAATGTTGAGGTTCAATTGACTGAAAATAATTATAAAATTCTATAACACTCAATTGATCAATGAAATTAATAACAATTCGTAAACAGTTTTTTTAACAGAATATAACAAAAGATTTATATTTTGAAGTCAACCAAATTGATGAATTTAATACTTGACTTATTGGATAAAAGGGATATTGTTTTAAAAATTCTATTATATCATCTTCCTTTCCTCGATTCGATTTAAGCGGCTCTAAGACCTTCACTGCATTCTCTATAGAGTAGACCTTCCAAAACAATCCTGTAACATTTTCAAGGATTCACAACATTTCAGGCAATTTTTGTTCAATTTTTTCCATAGTAAAAATTGAAAGATAAACTTTTCGCGTCTTTAACAAATAGCTGCCAAATAAACACTAGACATATTCTGTTCCAACTTCACGCGAATCTGAAAGAAGGAAAAACCTATCTAGGAAATAAAAACTTAACCGCTTAAATGAAGCAGACCGGTTCAATTTGGTTCAGATGGTATATGCATTAATGGGCGTTCTTCTACTTTAATTTGGCAGTTTGAGGGATAGGCTTGGCACCACCCTTTACTAGACTTTGTTATAGAAGATGCTCTTAACATACACATATGAATTATGATAGGTTGATCAGAAAGAAAGTTATAGCCATATAACCAGGCCCAATGCACACATACATACATATGTACAAGTACACAAACACGCATAAGGCACGATTCTGATGTAAATGTAAATGTATGTATGCATGCATGGAATATTTTATATTTAATTTAGTTAATTAATTAAGTTAATTTAGTTAATTTATTAAATTTAATTGATTTAACTAATTTAATTAAATTAAATTAATTAACTAAATTAATGTAATTAATTAACTGATGTAAATGTAAATGTATGTATGCATGCATGGAATATTTAATTTAGTT